TTCCCTTCCCATTCCCTTCCTTTCCTCCTTTCCTTTCCTTCCTTTCCTTTCCTTTCCTTTCCTTTCCCTTCCCATTCCTTTCCCTTCCCTTTCCTTCCCATTCTCTTCCTTTCCTTTCCTCCTTTCCTTTCCTTTCCTTTTCTTCTCATTCCTTTCCCTTCCCTTTCCATTCTCTTCCTTTCCTTTCCTTTCCTTTCCTTCTTTTCTTTCCCTTCCTTTCCCATTCTCTTCCTTTCCTTCCCCTTTCCCTTCCCTTTCCCTTTCCCTCCCCTTTCCCTTTCTTCCCCTTCCCTTCCCTTCTTTTTTCCCAGGTGATTGGCAGGACACTGAAAGTTACGGAGAGTCCCCTATGGAGTCCTCAGAAACAACCAGCCCTGAAGCAGGAAAAGAGACCTTCCAGAATGAAAAAGAGCCTCCCAAACCATCCAAGAGCGAGAAGTGCTCTTCCCCTTTTCGGGATGCCGACATCCACGATCTCCTGGTCCCGCAAGAGGGTCGCCAAGGGAAGTGGAGGATCAAGTGTCCCGTGTGTGGGAAGATGTGCAAATATAAATCAGACTTCAACCGGCACCGCGTGACCCACACGGGGGAGAAGCCGTATCGATGTACGGAGTGCGGCAAGAGCTTCAGCGACAGTGGCACGCTGACCGCGCATCAGAGAACCCACACGGGGGAGAAGCCGTACGAGTGTAGCGAGTGCGGGATACGCTTCAATCGTAGCGGGAGCCTCAAGCGGCACCAGAGGACCCACACGGGGGAGAAACCCTATCAATGCCTGGAGTGCGGGAAATGTTTCAGCCTGAAATCCATCTTGACCACACACCAGAGGACCCACACGGGGGAGAAGCCCTTCAAGTGCATGAACTGCGGAAGGAGCTACAGTCGTAAAGGCAGCCTGGATAGGCACCAACGGGATCACCCGGGGGAGCAAGCCTACATCTGCGCGGAGTGCGGGAAAAGCTTCGTGGTCAGCGATAACCTTCCCGCCTACCGAAATCACGACGCGGGGGACCAGCCGTATAAATGCATTGATTGCGAAAGCCGAGTCATCAATTTGGTCTAGCCTTCACATCAGAGCCTGCTCTGAGGGGAAGCCCTGTGAAAAGAGGAGACACCTAACCTTGTTTGGGAAGCCAAAACGACCCACCACGCCCCCCACCCCCACCCCAAGAAGGGCAAAGCTTTAAATGTTTGTATATTGAGAAGAGTTTGGGGTGTGAATGGCAAACGGCCTTTGCATCGAAGGGGTCACACAAGCAAGGGGTCCAATAAGGAGGGCTGTGAAATTGAAAGCAGGGAGAAAATTAAAGAGAGAGAGAGAGAGTCAGTCTGTGGAGAAATTCATGAGAGAGAGAGAGAGAGAGAGAGAGAGAGAGTCTGTGGAGAAATTCATGAGAGAGAGAGAGAGAGAGAGAGAGAGAGAGAGAGAGAGAGAGAGAGAGAGAGAGAGAGAGAGAGAGATTCTCAGTCTGTGGAGATTCTCAGTCATCCAAGCCACGGTTGTCCCAAAGGTGCTTTTTCACAAGGCAACTGGACTTTCTCGTTTTTCTTTGAAGACGTTTCGTTTCTCCTCCAAGAAGCTTCTTCAGCTCTGACTGGGTGGTGGGGAATGGAAGGATTTATACTTCTTGCAGACAGCTGGTCATTTGCATTCTTTTTAGAGGCCACTTGGATGTATACCTGTGTCCTCAGGGTCAATTGAGTAATGCAAATGTGGAGCCTTCTTGTAACCCTTTTGCATCGCTCAGCTGACCCTGAGGACACAGCTAAGCCTCCAGATGGCCTCAACGATTCTCTAAAACAGGGGTGTCAAACTCAATTTCATTGAGGGCCGCATCAGCATTGCGGTTGCCCTGGGGGGGCCGGGTGTGTGTGGCCAGGTTGGGTGCAGCCTACTGGGTAGGCGTGAATGGAGTGGGTGTGGCCTACTGAGTGGGTGTGGCCAGCTCTACATCATTCACGTCAAGGGTGCCTGTGGGGGCCTGGGCAGGAGTGGGACAGATCTGAGGGTCTCAGAAGGGTGGGACCGGAGCAAGCGCCAAGGCATGGTCCATTTCTTCATTCCTCACAAAGGGTGACACCTCCCCAGCATGCACCCAGGGGGCGGGGGCGATGTGGCAGGGGCTGGTTCCTCACTGTTTCTAGACGGCCTTGTGGAGCTAAGACTGAATGTGTTTCAGCCTAGATGGCCACCACAAAATTGTACATTGGTTCCAAGCCGGCTGGGCCAGGGCCAAGGCAGCGGGGGCCGTTCCCTCACTGTTTCCAGGATGGCTTCGCGGGCCACATGAACCCACTTTGCAGGCCGCATCTGGCCCCCGGGCCTTGTGTTTGACATGTCTGCTCTAAAAGAAGGCAAATGACCAGCTGTCTGCAAGGAGTATAAATCTTTCCATTCCCCACCATCCAGTCAGAGCTGAAGAAACTTCTTGGATGAGAAGCGAAACGTCTTCAAAGAAAAAAAAAAGTCCAGTTGCCACCTGAAAAGGCACCTTTGAGGGGGAGAGGGGGGGGGAGAGAGAGGTGTAAAAAAAGTATTGATTGCAGAAATATTGAACAACTCAACCAGATTTCTGGATTGTACTTCTCTCTGGTGTCTGCGAAGTCCCCCTTTTCTATTCACCTCCCTCCCCCCCTCAAAAAAATCTGGGCACTGAAGAGTGCTCAGCCTTCAGCCAATCCTTGGAGTGTTTTGCATGGTTTGGGGGCAGGGGAGCATTGATTGGCAGATGGGGCATGGGAGTCAGCTTGAGACAGTCCCATTGTGCAGATCCTCTCCAGACCCGATCCTGTTTGGCTGTGCTGCAAGGGCTGGGGTGGGGAGAGGAGTGGGAGTAGGAGTTTATAATTCTGAAAAACAGCCAGACTTAAACAAAATGTGCAAGAGTGTTGCTGACATCCTGCAGCTCTCCCTGGGAAAAAAGAAAGAAGTAGAAATGGTTTTGAGAGTAAACCAGAATGAAAGGGGTTGAAAGACCTGCCTGAATCAAACTGTATAACTCCTCAAGAGTTGCTTTGATCTTCAAATAACCACAAAATGTAAAATAAAGTTAGAAGCAACTATCAAAAGCCGAACTAAGTTATTTTGAAAGTGGAATAACTGCCGCTAAAGAGACTGACAGGAGGAGGACAATTGTATAGGCCATAAAGAAGAGGGAATTAAGCTATTTTCCAAAGCACCTGAAGGCAGGACAAGAAGCAATGGGTGGAAACTAATCAAGGAGAGAAGCAACCTAGAACTAAGGAGAAACTTCCTGACAGTGAGAACAATTAATCAGTGGAACAGCTGGCCTCCAGAAGCAGTAAATGCTCCAACACTGGAAGTTTTTAAGAAGAGACTGGACAGCCATTTGTCCGAAATGGTGTAGGGTTTCCTGCCCGAGCAGGGGGTTGGACTAGATGACCTCCAAGGTCCCTTCCAACTTTACTACTATTATTATTATTATTATTCCTGAGGAATTCTGGGAGTCAAAGTCCACAAGTCATAAAAGAGCCAAAGTTGCATACCCCTGGTATAGTAGTCTTCGATTTAACAGCCGTTTGTTTAGTGACTATTCAAAGTTATAGTGGCACTGACAAAAGTGACTTACGACCGGTTTTTACACTTAACAAACTGTTGCAGCATCCCCATGGTCATGTGATCAAAACTTGAGCCCTTGGCAATTGGCATATATTTATGACCCTGTCAGACCTGCCCCAATCCGATCCCTTAGGGCAGGGCTTTTCAACTTTTTCACCCATTGTACCACTTTTAGGATATGGCAACATCCGAGTACCATCAGTTGCCTAGCAAGGTGTCAAAAACTTGATGACCCCCACAAAAAAAGGAAAAAAGTGATAAAGTACAGGTAGTCCTCGACTTACAACAGTTCGCTTAGTGGCTGTTCAAAGTTATACAATGGCACTGAAAAAAGTGCCCCCCCCAAGCCACAGCCGAGCAAGACACCTGCCTGCCCGCCCAGCCATACTCTTCCTCCTGTCCGAGGTTTTCATTGTTGTGAGCATTTCTGTTGAGGATTGACAGCGGGGGTGGGGTGGGGGGTGTTTGGTTTTTATTCCCCCCATCCGCTGGGTGGTTGCAGCAGGTTTTGGTCACTTCACATGACCCTGGGACACTGTGACCGTCATAAATATGAATCAGTTGCCAAGCATCTGAATGTAAATCACAAGATTCTGGAGATGCTGCAACATTCCAGCTGATCGGCGCTTCTTCTGGGCTCAACAGAAGTGCCAGGATCAGTGCTGAGCTCCAGCTGGAACCTGGCGCTGATCCTGGTGCTTCCGCTGAGCCCTGCAGCTCCAGCCATCTCGCTCAGGCTTGTGGGGTGCTGCCACTGGTTCAGCTCATTCCCCTCCCCTGCTCCCACTTTTCTAGGATGGCCATGTGTTGTTGTTAACTGCGAAGTCGTGTCCGACCCATCGCGACCCCATGGACAATGTTCCTCCAGGTCTTCCTGTCCTCTACCATCTTCTGGAGTCCATTTAAATTCACACCTACTGCTTCAGTGACTCCATCCAGCCATCTCATTCTCTGTCGTCCCCTTCTTCTATTGCCCTCAATCTTTCCCAGCATTCGGCTCTTCTCCAGTGAATCCTTCCTTCTCATTAGGTGGCCAAAGTACTTGAGTTTCAACTTCAGGATCTGGCCTTCTAAAGAGCAGTCGGGGTTGATCTCTTCTAGGACTGACCGGTTTGAACGCCGTGCAGTCCAAGGGACTCGCAGGAGTCTTCTCCAGCACCATAGTTCAAAGGCCTCAATTCTTTTGCGCTCAGCCTTTCTTATGGTCCAACTTTCACAGCCATACATTGCAACTGGGAAAACCATGGCCTGGACTATACGCACTTTTGTTGGCAGGATGATGTCTCTGCTTTTTAGTATGCTGTCTAGATTTACCATAGCTTTCCTCCCCAGGAGCAAGCGTCTTTTAATTTCTTGGCTGCAGTCCCCATCTGAGGTGATCTTGGAGCCCAGAAAAATAAAATCTGTCACTACCTCCATTTCTTCCCATCTATTTGCCAGGAATTGAGAGGGCTGGATGCCATGATTTTGGTTTTCTTAATGTTGAGTTTCAAGCCAACTTTTGCACTCTCCTTCTTCACCCGCATCAAGAGGCTCTTTAGTTCCTCTTCACTTTCTGCCATTAGAGTGGTATCATCGGATGGCCATATACCAGGTGCCAATGTACCACAGGTGGTACTTGTACCACTGGTTGAAAAGCCCTGCCTTAGGGGGAAAAAAGCCTTCGACTCTGTTTGGTTAAAGCAAAGAGTTCTTTTACTAAGGATGTTGGTTGCAGTAAAAGTCGAGCCAGCTCTGAAATCTCCCACGCTCACTAGGTACCCAAAATAAGGTGTAGGTTTGCCCTCCAGTCCATCCCTCCCTCCGGAACCAGTCCATTTCCATCCAACCGGAGCTTGCCAAGATGTTATGACAACTCAGATGTTTGGGCGTAATTCACATATTTTTCAGGGTGCCTGGCCATGGGATGCCGGCACAAATAGGATCCAACTATTCTGGTCCTTCTCACCTGTCATTCCCCTTCCTCTCAATTTCCTATCGCGTACATACAAAGCTTTATTGCCTTTTCATCTTTCCTTCTTTCTTTCTCCCCCCCTTTACCCCCTTTCATCCTTCCTCCCCCCCCCATTTTTGTTATGGCAGGATGCCTATGAAACTCCCCCCAAGCCGAGCTAGGCAGATCTGACAGACGGTTGCACTGTCCCAAGGTCATGTGATCATCATTTCTAACCTTCCTAGCCAGCTTCCAGCAAGCAAAGTCAAAAGAATCAGAATCAGAATAGAGCTGGGAGGGACCTTAGAGGTCATCTAGTCCAGTCCTCTGCTCAAGCAGGAGACCCTATACCAAGGGTAGGTAACCTTGGCTCTTTTTATGACTCCTGGACTTCAACTCCCAGAATTCTTGAGCCAGCCATGCTGAGGAGAAAGGGAGAGGTTTCCAAGCTGAGCCATGCTGGCTCAGGAATTCTGGGAGTTGAAGTCCACGAGTCATAAAAAGCGAGGTTGCCTACCCCTGGCCTATACTATTTCAGACAAGTAGCTGTCCAGTCTCTTCTCAAAAACCTCCAATGAAGCATCCACAACGTCTGAAGGCAAGTTCCAGATTCACTTAACGACCGTGTGATTCACTTAACGACTGCCGCAATTCACTTAACTTGTGGCCCCAAAAAAGCTCATTAAATGAAGCAAAACTCGCTGAACAGCTGCCTTGATTAGCATCAGGAGTTTTGTGCTCAATTGTCAATAAGAATTATCTGTAATGAACTGCTCTTTTGGCCTCAGAGTGGTAGTAAGGTGTGTATTTGTGTTTAGGTCATTTTGCTACTTTGAGGGGGAAAAAATGGCGATTCACTGGAGATCTTTGGCCAAGGAATGAACGAAACTGATGCGCAGCGATGACGGAACAAAGAAATAAAACTGCAGATTTGGAGAACCTCAAAACCTGCATATCACTGGGGTAGAGAAACAGGTACTTAATTTTTAGGAAGCAGGTGGGGGGGGGGGAAGATAACCTGTCCTTGCTAGAACAGTAAGCCAGGCATTCACCCAGGGAAGGCAGATGGAATATTTGTTAGACACAAAAATAGTCACAAATTGAACTCCACTCAGAGTTACAAATAGAAAAGAAGTTTATTAGACTTCACAACAAAGTCTAAAAAAAAATGACGGTTTGCAAAGCATGGTGGATTCAGGAAGGCAATGCAATGTAGCCAAGCACTGAACCACACCCCAAATTCCAAAATCACATATTATTATAATATCCTATCGTGATGCCCCATTCCCTCCCCCATGGCCTCATTGGCTTAGGCTTTGGAGGTTACAATCTATCAAAAGCGCCTAAACAGAATACATTATCTCTGCCCCTGTTTGCTTACATTATACTAATAAGATCCCTCCCCTACTATCCTATATCAATTCTAGAGGAGAGATGTCTCCCATATTCTACACCTGTAAGATCAAGTAGAGGTACCAGGCACCAGAAGGTACTTAAAAACAATTCCTAGATAGTGACTCACACTGGGCCCCATGGTAACTCCTGTTCTCCCCTCTTCCTCCACCTGAGGCTTGTATGTTCCCTATATACTCAAAGCATCTACTCAGGCAATTGATTATACAATGATAATTATAAAATATAAAATATGATTACGTGATAATACTAAAAGCATATATATTTTTATTTTTAAATTTCCTCCACAGTCAGAAACACCACTGTCTGATTTCAATGGTTGATCCTGTTAACATCCACTGGATTTTAGATAAAGTCAGTTCATAATGTATAAATCCTCAGTACAGAGCCGACAGCCTTGGCTAAGGGATAAAGTTGGAAAAGCTGTTTTCCTGGGGAGTTACTGCAAGAGATTCATCATTCCTTCTCTTTCCTTCAACTCCCAGAATTCCACAGCCACTTGTCTGAAATGGTATATAGGGCAGGGGTGGGGAACCTTGGCTCTTTTATGACTTGTGGACTTCAATGGCTCAGGAATTCTGGGAGTTGAAGTCCACGAGTCATAAAGGGGCTCCATCTAGCCATGCTGGCTCAGGAATTCTGGGAGTTGAAGTCCACGAGTCATAAAGGGGCTCCATCTAGCCATGCTGGCTCAGGAATTCTGGGAGTTGAAGTCCACGAGTCATCAAAGAGCCAAGGTTCCCCAACCTGGTACAGGGTCTCCTGCTTGAGCAAGGGGCTGGACTACAAGACCTCCAAGGTCCCTTCCAGCTCTATTTTGATTGGTTGACATTTAAAATTCCCTGTTGGAAGCGTTTGCTTTCTTCCAGTAAAGGGGGAAAAAAATGGAAACAACCCTGAGAACCACAAAAGGAGTCACAATTCCTTCAGAGCAGCAGCAGCAGCAGCTGTAAAAACTAAAAGGCTGTAAGGCCCTGTTAACACAAGACGACTCCGCCCTGTTTGCCCTTAAGAGTCTTGGTCCTGGCAGCCTCTAGCTTCAGAAATAAGCAGCGCATGCGCCTGGAGTGGGTTGGTGGGAAGCTCCGCCAACCGGGAATCTTTTCTTAGGCAAGAGGTAGAGTTAAAAATCGTCCAGAGCGTCTTGCCTCTCTAGGAAGGAGGGCTCGTTCGCCTTCTGCTCAGCTATTTGGAGCCTGGGAAAGCGCGGAAGTTTCTGCCGGGATCGGAGACGCGAGTGTGAGTTTCACGCGCGGAAAAGCTTCGTGGAAATCAAATCCCAAATGCACTAAAGCGTCTTTCCGGGAAATCTAGGAAGGGTGGGGAAAAAAGGGTCCCCTCTGCTCTCCAGCAGCAGAATATAGGAATGGGGGGGGGGGGGAGAAGCCCTGCGTGGGAAAGGGGAAGGGGCTGCAGATCCCCGGACGAGATTCAGCGCCTCCCACAATCTTAACCCTTGCTAGCTGCCCCCCAACCCCGACCCGACCTCCCTGCTTCCCCACGTGGCCCTTTTCCTTATCTCGGATGCTGCTGATGGAGAACAAAATCCAGGGAGGGTCCAGTCTGTGCCTCCCACCTGAAGGGAACAGGTAGGTGTGTGTGTGTGTGTGAGAGAGAGAGAGATAGAGAGAGGGAGAGAGTAACCGAGTTGGAAGGGATCTTAAAGGTCATCTAGTCCACTCTGTTCAAGCCGGAGACCCTGGCTTATATCATTCCAGACAGATGGTTGTCCAATCTCTTCTTGCAAGTTTGCAAGACAGGTAGTCCTTGACTTAACAACAGTTCATTTAGTGACCATTCAAGGTTACAATGGCACTGAAAAAAAGCAACTTATGACCATTTTTTCACAGTTGCAAACTTGGTAGCATCCCCCTGGCCCTGTAATCAAAATTCAGAGTGAAACAGATTGTTATGAAATCTGGAATAAATTGTACAATTGGTCTGGGGAAAATAGACGGAAGAACTCTCTTATTCATATTGAAAATATTAAATGAAAATTTAGAATATAGATGACGGGACCCACCAGAGAGAATATTTAAGAGAAAAAGAGACATTTGTTGGAATATGTGGATTACGAATGATAGAAATCAATTATTAACGATCTTTTCTTACAAATGTAAACTAAGCTCTTGTGGAAAACGAAGGACTCTTACGAATTCCAGAGGGTTTCAGCAGAGAGACTTATTGCGCAGGTTCAGAAGCAGTAGCAACTAGCAATTCTGAACCCTGAGGGTGGGTTCAGACTTCAGTTTTATACCTTTCTTTTTTTTCTTTCTCGGGAACAAAGGAATACACATTTGAAAACACATTCTAATACATTAGATTCGTTTCTCACGGGTATACAATGGAGAATTTGCTACATGCATTGTATCCAAATGCAATGCGCATTAGATTAGTCACATACTGTTAACACAGCACTATTCCAGTAATTATGCAGACACATCCTTAGTCTAGTGATTGTTCATTATTCCACATTAAAGCAAACACACTGTTAACCGACTATTATGTGATTTATGTTTTAAAAACCAATAAAATTTATAAATAAAAAAAATTCAGATGTTTGGGCAACTCTTTCATACTTATGACCATTACTGGGTCCCAAAATCATGTGATCCCCTTTTGTGATCCTCGTCTGACGAGGAAAGATAATGGGGAAGACATGTTCCCTTTAACAACCGGGTTATTAACTTATCCACTGCAGTGATTCACTTAACAACTCACTTAACAAACGTCTGAAGTTTGAGCTCAAATTTGTGGTCGTAAGTCAAGGACTACTTGTAGTGGAGAATATCTGTAGCTCGGGTGTAGGGGAGGGTGAAGCTTCATCCTGCAAGCTACAAGCTCAGAGAATGACCCACAACTTTGGAAGGAAAGCCGTTCCATTGGTTGATTGTTCTCACGGTCAGAAAATTTCTCCTTATTTCTAGGTTGAATCTCTCCTTGATCAGTTTCCATCCATTGTTCCTTGTCTGGCCTTCAGGTGCTTTGAAAAATAGGTTGACCCCCTCCTCTCTGTGACAGCCCCTCAAATATTGGAAGACTGCTGTCATGTCGCCCCTGGTCTTTCATTTCATTAAACTAGCCATGCCCAGTTCCAGCAACCATTCCTTATATGTGTTAGCCTTCAGGTCCCTAATCATCTTTGTTGTTATTCTCTGCACTCTTTCTAGAGCAGTGGTTCTCAACCTTTTTAATGCCGCGACCCCCAACCGGCCGTAAGTCGAGGACTACTCAGCCGGTCGTAAGTCGAGGACTACTCAACTGGTGCAGCACCGTTTGCAGAATGGGACTTTTGGCGGGCTCAGCAGGGCAGAGACAGCCTGGACAATTCCTATTGGCTTTTGAAAGCCAATAGAATTAGACTCTATTCAAGAGAGTCTATTCTATTGGCTTTCAAAAGCCAATAGAATAAAAGGGAGTAGCACAGCTAAGGAAAAGGGGAAAAAAATGGCGGAATGCATTGTTTGGTGACCCCCGTGAAATGGTCGTTCGACCCCAAATGGGGTCCCGACCCACAGGTTGAGAACCACTGCTCTAAATTCTCTTCCTCTGAACAGTTAAATTATCAGCATGTTCCCTCCCTAAATTAGCTGTCATATGTCACATCCAATTAGTGTGAAAGTCAAAGGTTTCCTTCCTCTTTCTTTCCCAGGCTTTACCTCCACCCCCCTTCTGCTCTGTATTAACCCCATAAATACCAGACAGTTCTGCATATTGTCAAAAGCAAGAATATACAATATTTGCAGCATTGACAGTAACTTTGAACGGTCACTAGTGAACCGTTGTAAGTCAGGGACTACCTTACTGCTATTATGCCCCCCCCTAGTCCTTCTTTTCTCTAGACTTGTTGTTGTTGTTGCCATATCCGTTATCAGACGTTGGCAATCCTGTTGGCGATCCTGTTTTTATCAGCATCCGCATGAAAAAATGCTGCTGAGTTTTGTCCGAACCAGTCCCTTAGATTTTGAAGCCACGATGTTCTTCTTCTGCCTGGACCTCATTTGCCTTCCATCTTTCCCTGGAGGATTAAATGGAGTATTGCCGTATTTTTCTGGATGTCGCATCAATATGTCTGAAAATATTCTAACTTTTGTTTTTTAATTGTGTTGATGATTTCGCTTGGCTATCCCAGGCGGCTGATCCCCTCCTCATTTCTGATCTTGTCAACTCAGCTTATCTTAACAGCCACATTTCAAATGCTTCTAGTCCAGCGGTTCTCAACCTGTGGGTCACGACCCCATTTGGAGTCGATCGACCATTTCACGGGGGGTCGCCAAACAACGCGATCCGCCATTTTTTTTGTCAGCCGGCGCAGGGGCCACCGCCGCGCATGTGCGCCGCGCAGGGGCAGCGTGCATGGTGCCACCGCCGCGCATGCGCGGCACGCAGGGGCAGCGTGCATGGGTCACCGCCGCGCATGCGCGCTGCCCAGGGGCGGTGCATGGGGCGCCCCCGTGCATGCGTGCCGTGCAGGGGGCAGCCCCGCACATGCGTGCTGTGCAGGGGGGGGCGCCGCGCATGCCTGCTGCGCAGGGGGCGGCGCCGTGCATGCGCGCCGCCTGCTTATGTCCGGGGTCACTGTATAAAAAGGTTGAGAACCACTGTTCTAGTCTCTTCAGGTGGCCTTCTGTCAGAGACCGACTCTCTACTCCATAGAGCAGGATAGAAAAAATATAGCATCTGACAAGCCTGATTTTCAGTCTCTAGACTAGCCAGACCCAATTCCTGCAACTGTTTTTCGTATGTTTTTGCTTCCATACCAGGAGAAAAAGAAGCTGCAGGTTCTGCAAAGCTACTTGTTATATAATCAAATGGCGCTGAAGCATCTAATAACAATAATAATGATAAAGTTGGAAGGGACCTTGGAGGTCATCTAGTCCAACCCCCTGCTCAGGCAGGAAACCCTATACCATTTCGGACAAATGGCTGTCCAGTCTCTTCTTAAAAACTTCCAGTGTTGGAGCATTCACTGCTTCTGGAGGCAGGTTGTTCCACTGGTTAATTGTTCTAACTGTCAGGAAGTTTCTCCTTAGTTTTAGGTTGCTTCTCTCTTTGGTTAGTTTCCACCCGTTCCTTCTTGTTCTGCCTTCAGGCACCTTGGAAAATAGCTTGACTCCCTCTTCTTTGTGGCAGCCCCTGAGATATTGGAACACTGCTATCATGTCCCCCCTCGTCCTTCTCTTCATTAAACTAGACATACCCAATTTTAGAAACCGTTCCTTATATGTTTTAGCCCCCCAGTCCCCTAATCATCTTTGTTGATTAGGGGACTGGAGGCTAATCAACTAATCATCTGGATGGGACTGTCACCCTGTGTGGTTTTGAATTATTTTTCTCTTTTTGTTAGACTATCTTCCTTCACGTACCAGATCTTTGCTTTGGGAGATAAATGACTCCCGTGTCCTTATGAGAGTCATCTGCAGCCTCTTCGTGCAATTCAGCCTCTAAAAGCGAACGTAACTTTGTAGAGGCGGGAGATCCTTTGCCCTGTTGGAAACTACACTGGAGTAGAAAGACAAAATGGACGTTGAGTGTCCAGCAGGAATGGAAGCCACCAGAGGCCCTGCTGCCTTTCAGGGTGGATCCGGTAGTGTGTTGTGGGAAAGTACCAGGCCGAAGGTCCTGCATGAGGATGTCATCAGCTCTGACGTTCATCGTTTGTTCTTCAAGAATTTCTGCTACCAGGAGGCGAAGGGGCCCAGAGAGGCTTGCAGCCAACTGCATCAGCTTTGCCATCAATGGCTGAAGCCGGAAAGCAGCACCAAAACTCAGATGGTGGACATGGTGGTCTTGGAGGAGTTTCTGGCTGTCCTGCCCCCAGAGATGGAGAGCTGGGTGAGGGAATGTGGAGCGAAGACTTGTTCCCAGGCTGTGGCCCTGGCCGAAGGCTTCCTCCTCAGTCAAGCAACAGATGAGGGGCAAGTAGAGAAGCAGGTATGAGATTTTATCTTGGCATGGAGGAAGAACAAGACATTCCCTTGTTTTATGAAGTGCTTCACTTTTTATTACTTCAGGCAAATAGAAAATAGAATAGGAATAGAATAGGAGTAGAATGGAATAGATAATAGAATATAGAATATAGATAAGAATAGGAATAGGCTAGAGGAATAGAATAGAAATAAAATAGAATAGAATAGAATACAGAATATAGATAAGAATAGGAATAGACTAGAGGAATAAAATAGAATAGAAATAGAAATAGAATAGAGTAGAATAGAACAGAACAGGAACAGAACAAGAATAGAATAGAATAGAATGTAGAATGTAGAATGTAGAATAGAATAGGAATAGACTAGACTCTAGTCTATTCATATTCTTATCTGTATTCTATATTCTATTCTCTATTCTATTCTAATTCTAATTCTATTCCTCTAGTCACTAGAGGAATAGAATAGAATTAGAATAGAATAGAATAGAATAGAATATAGAATATAGATAAGAATAGGAATAGACTAGAGGAATAGAATAGAATAGAAATAAAATAGAATAGAATTAGAATAGAATAGAATAGAATAGAATAGAATAAAAGAATATAGATAAGAATAGGAATAGACTAGAGGAATAGAATGGAATAGAATAGAATAGAATAGAATAGAATAGAATAGAATAGAATAGAATAGAATAGAATAGAATATAGTAGAATAGAAATAAAATAGAACAGAACAAGAATAGAATAGAATATAGAATATAGATAAGAATAGGAATAGACTAGAGGAATAGAATAGAATTAGAATAGAATAGAAATAAAATAGAATAGGAATAGAATATAATATAGAATATAGATAAGAATAGGAATAGACTAGAGGAATAGAATAGAATTAGAATAGAATAGAATAGAAATAAAATAGAACAGAATAGAATAGAATAACTTTATTATCACTTTAAATGTACACTAATTAGCATACATTAAAATGAGATTTTGTTGCATACAGTTCTCAAAGGGTAACCACCTCCAATATACACTGCATAAACATATCACACACACACACACAAAAAACTACTCATACACACACACACACACACACACACACACCTATGTGGCCAGAGAAACAACACAAGTCTAGTTCGGATGTATACATATACATGGCGAGAAGTACGAATCCTGCGAGTTTACCAGATGGAAGGCATAGGTAACAAAGCTGTTACAGCATCTGGTAGTCCTGCTAGAAATACTTCAAAATTTCTTCCCAGAGAGGAAGCAACAAAAACAGACTGTAAAGTGGGTGTGTGAGGTCTCTAACAATGCTTCGAGTTCTAAGCTCATAGCGCTTATAAGCAGTGTGTCCTGAATCACAGGAAGTGGGCTTTCTATTATCTTCTCAACTGTCCTTACCACTCTATGAGAAGATTATAATTGACTTTTCCCTCCCATCGCTTAGATAGGAAACAGACACACAGCTACGGAACAGGAAATACCTGGCCCAGCACGAGTACTTGGGAGAAAGATATTGAAGTCCTGGTAGTTCACAAATTAAGCAGGAGTCAGCAATTAAGAAGGCAGAACTCTTGGAATATCTCTTCCAACAGGCATCTTTATTAAGAGAAGATGGTTGCAGGCATTCTAACAGGATCTGAGAGGCCAAGCCCTACCATTCAAGGTTTTAAGTGTTCCCAAGCAGCCCCTACCCCACCGTCCTTCCAGCGACAATCCCAGACGTTACATTTCCACCCCCTTTTCCTCACGGCCGGTAGAAGGGAGACTTCAGAAAGTAGTAGATGAAAGGTGATGGCCATATTGTTATGGTCAGTCCTCTTGGTGAGATCCACGTTCAGTCCCTTTGAAGTTTTAATGAAGGAAGTGAGAGCCATAAAACCCCTTTGCTCATTCCCCTTCCCCTTCGTAGTATGACAGAATCCAGAGAGGGCAGAAATGGGGTTTTCCATAGTCGATAACTAGAAATGACTGTAGCAGTCAGATCATACCTGGGATACTTGCATGGCTCCAGCTTTGATTGACACAATGCAAGAAGAATGCTGAGAAACTGGAAACAGGCAGTGAAGGACAACAAAGGTTGAGGGGATAGAGTTTAAATCCTAGAAAGAGTAGCTAAAGAACAGGACATGTTTCATCAGAAGAAGAGAAGGAGCTGGGGAACCATGGCAGCAGCCTTCCAAAATTTAGGGGCTGTCAAAGGCAGGTGGGTATGGATCGATTCTCTGTGGGACAAGGAATACTTCATATCTATCTTTACAACGGGAGATACAAAGTCAAAATAAAGGAGGAATTTCATCCCTTTGAGAGATATGGGATAGCCCAGTGATGGCGAACCTTTTAGAGACCAAGTGCCCAAACTGCAACCCAAAACTTACTTATGCATCGTAGTGGCCCATTGGGTGGGTGTGGCCCATTGGGTGGGCGTGGCTACGGTGGTAACAGCAGACTGGGTGGGTCTAAAAAGTTCAATCAATCAATTCCAACTTTGCAAGATCTTTTTTTTCCCACGAGAACTTGAAATTGACTGATTGATTGAACCTTTTTTTTTTGTACACGGCAGAGGCCTAAAGTGAAAAGGTTTCATAAAACCCAGCTGAAGGCCTAGGACTGGGGCAACGGCGCGTGTGCCCACAGAGAGGGCTCTGAGTGCCGCCTCTGGCACCCATGCCATAGGTTCGCCACCATTGGTGTAGGACTAAAAAGTTCAATCAATTCCAACTTTGCGAGATCTTTTTTTTTCCCGCGAGAAGTTGAAATTGATTGATTGACTGAACCTCTTTTTTTTGCACACGGCGGCGGAGGCCTAAAGCAAAAAGGTTTTATAAAACCCAGCTGAAGGCCCAGGACTGGGGCGACGGTGCGCGTGCCCACAGAAAGGGCTCTGCGCACCACCTGTGGCACGCGTGCCATAGGTTCGCCACCACAGGGATAGCCTGTCCCCTGGAGAGGTGCATGCTTCTATACTGGTAGTTTCCAAGTCAAGGTCTGGGCAGCCATTTCAATCAATCAGAATAGAGCTGGAAGGGGCCTTGGAGGTCTTCTAGTCCAACCCTGTGCTCAAGCAGGAGAACCTATGCCATTTCAGACAAGTAGCTGTCCAGTCTCTTCTTAAAAACTTCCCGGGATGAAGCACCCACAACTTCAGGAGACAAGTCGTTCCACTGATTAATTGCTCTCACAGTCAGGAAATTCCTCCTTAGTTCTAGGTTCGTTCTCTCCTTGATTAGTTTCCATCCCTTGTTTCTTGTCCTGCCTTCTGGTGCTTTGGAAAATAATTTGACCCCCTCATCTTTGTGGCAACCCCTCAAATGCTGGAATACTGCTATCGTATCACCCCTAGTCCTTTTATTGTCTAGACTGGCCCTACCCAATTCTTGCAACTGTTCTTCCATATTTATCTGGCATGTTTGAGGAGTGGAGTAAAAGACCTCCAAGATGCCTCCCAATGCTAGAACTCCATTATTGTTCTGCAGCTGTGAGCTGTGGCCCACTTCTGGTACATGGCCTATTCACAACCGGGCCGTGTGAGTGGCTGGCTGGTGCACACCCGTGTGTGTGCCTGTGTGTGTGTGCACAGTCCCACTCGTGCACGTTACAGGTGCTCTAGGCCTGACTCGTGCGAGGGTTGTGGGTGCTTGGGTCCCACTTTCACGAGCATTGTGGCCATTCAGGGCCTGACTCGCGTGAGCATCACAGTGTTGTGGTTCCGGCTCTTTATCAACCCCATATTTACCAGACAATTCTGCATATTGTCAAAAGCAAGAATATACAATATTTGCAGCATTGACACACAGGGGCACTCGGCCTCACTCGTGCAAGCATCACAAGTGCTCTTGGCCCCACTCTCGCAAGCCACGGGTGCTTGTCCGCATGCACCGTGCATGCGCACGCTCCTGCCCCTCCCATAAAACCGTCCCCTCTTCCCTCCAGGCCGCCAACCCGGAAAGGGAACTCTGTTCTACAGGAACAAGGGGAAACCCAAGCCCAATTCCACCCCAAGGATGGAGAGAGGAAGCTTCAAGGTTAGGGACAGAAAAGAATTCCATCTACTCTGTGTGTCTTCATCACAGCTACTCCATTCCCCCCCCCCTTCTGTCCGGTGTTTCAGGTGCCAGAAGCATTGACGGGGATGGTCTCGACACAAACCAAAGAAAGGGAAGATGTGTCCACTTCTTCTCAGGAGCAGCTCTTTGGGAAGATGTCTGAGGAGGATCCAACTCAGGTCACCTCCCAATGTAAGTGAAGAATAGAACAGCTATGCTGACTCCGGAATTCTGGGAGTTGAAGTCCGTGAGTCATAAAAGAGACGAGGTTGCCTACCCCTGGAATAGAATAACTTTATTGTCCTTGGGTAACTCGCAACGAAATTCAGTATAAGTGAAATTAAGTGAAGGTATCTTGCACAGTAGAAGTGTAGCAAAGATGTCTGAGAGTGTTTGCAGGAGCTTGGTTAGGAAGGGAGAGATTGGGACTCTTGTGGAAAAATAAAGCCTTAAAAAAATAAAGGGCTTTTACGAAATTCCGAAGGTGAAAGAGAGATTTTTATTTTTGCGCAAAAAGGTTCAGAAGTGACTTAACAATCAGCAAATTTCTGAACAAGGGGGAGGGTCTAAAACTAAAGCTTTATAGGTTTCTTTTTCTCAGGAACAAAGGAAGCATAGATGGAATCTTACATTGTATATGGAATCTACTTTGTGTAACATTCAGATAGTTTCTCACACCTTAGGTCCATTTCTCATGGGAATACAATGAAGGCAGTTTTTTACTGTTATACAATGTTTCTAAATATGCATTAGGTCATTCACGTACTGTTAATACAGCTTTTGGTTAACCCAGCTTTCTTTCAGAGATTATGCAGACACATGATTTTTTGCTTTTAGTGATTTTTCATTATTATTATTATTATTATTATTATTATTATTATTATTATTATTATTATTATTATTATTATTATTATTCTTTATTCTTCTTTATTCTTCTTTATTCTATGTTATTCTATTTCTTTCCCACATTACTCCCCCCTTTTGGAAGTTTTCCAGCTTAAACTTCCATTATCCTACCTCTGATTCCGGATCTCTTGAAGGCACCATTTTATATTCCCATAAGGCTAACATTGTTTCATGTTTTGCTGTTAATTGGGCTGTACTTTCTGAGATCCTCCGAATCATGGCTATAAGACAGGGGATCAAGCAAGGAATTAAAATACATCCTAGAATTAACAAAACTTTCAGGCCTACAAACCTTCATAGTTATAGCAGCTTTGTTAATTCCAGGATCCATAGCAGTGGTCTCATTGGTTCCAGACCACCAGTTACCATCTTCCCATGTCCCTGTGCATAGGAGGTCACCTACTGCTACACAAGATTCTGTTTTGTTTCTTGAGTAACATACATGTTCTACCAAGTTGGAAGTGAGACCCCAATCACCATCTTTCCCATTTGTATAGGTTAAATTATTGTTTTTAGACATTTCCAGTACCTTGGTATAATTTAACTCTTGTGCTTCCCATGGCCACCTTTCTCCCACCTTTGTTTGTTCCACCACACACAAAAAACAGACACGCCTAAAGTATGGGCAATGTCTTCTGCTAACTTAACAAAGGTATTGGTTACATGTCTAGGTACTTCAGGAATATGTAGGTTCTCCATTTCCTCATAATATGACCAAAATAATGATTTTTGTTCTGGTCTTTTGGTTGCAGTTATAATTTTGACTTCTATTTCTGACATTGGGTCATAGCCATTTGTATCTATTCCTATCCCAAACATCCATTTCTTACTTTCCCACCTATTCTGTTCTAGGAACCAACTGCCATTCTTGACTGTGAGAGTCACCAAATTACAGTTATCCGTTCCACAGGAATTTGCTTTTGTTTCATTCTTTTCAAACAAGATGTGGTCTATCTCTTTTGGGTCTTGGGTATGCCACTTAATACATGACCACCACTTACATTTGACCGCACATCCATCTGGTGGGCACAAGTACTTATGTTTTGGGATAAAGTTGTGAATATTACCGATCCCTCCGCAACCATATGTTGGAGTCCAATAATTAGCTGCTTTGCAAACATCAAAGGTGACGCTAAAACTGGAGTGTGGATTGGATTTCCATTGGGAGATCCCTAAGAGTGCCTGGTCCTTATAGCTAGTTCTTGTTCTATGTGTTTTGATTTGTAAGGCCCAACGATCAGGATCAGACTTCGGGTTATAACACTGATATTGGACACCTTTTCTACAAACTTTATATGTAGTTCTATTGTATGTACAAGAGTCAGGAGAACTATCTTGGCACCCTTCTGGTTTAACTGTATGGTAAATCAAAGTCTTGGTTATCTGGTTTCCTTGTTTTGTAGTTTTGATACAGTTTTGACAACCTTGGTTTCCCTGTGTTTCTGCTCTTTCTTGGTGTGTGCTACTCAATAATTCTTTATTAGAGGGTTTCTGCATTATGACCTCTCGTGTAGCCATTGTACTGATTTGTGTAGGAATGTGTGTGCATATTAAATAATTAACAAATATTACGAGATGTAGAATCCTCATATCTTCCACCGTGCGTAGAGAGACAGCTTCCTGGGGTGTCTCAGCAAGGTTGTTGATCACACCCTGTCTTGGGAACCCGTTGCTGTATTTCTTGTAAATTTCAATACCAAAGGCTTGTCAGTCTTGTCCACCTTGTAGGTCACCGGATCTGCAGGTGCTGCTGCTTTCACTCTACTCCAATGGATCCAAGACTTTCCTTCCAAGGTTTTCACTGCCAAAGGAGAACACATGACAACAGTATACGGTCCTTTCCATCTTGGGCTCAAGGGATCTGATTTCCATTTCTTTACCCACACTCTATCTCCTCGCTTAACTAGGCAACTGTGCTGACTCAACAGTAGAAGTTTGAGAAACTATTGCATAACCAGAGTATCTACATCCTTTATCCATAAAGCTAGAACCATCAGTAAACCATTGATAGTCTGGATTATGCAAGGGTTGGTCTGTAAGGTCAGGTCTGCAAGAATATTGTAGTTCTATTGTTTGCATGCAGTCATGAACAGGTTTGGTTGAATCAGGAATTGGCATTAGAGTTGCTGGGTTTAAAGTTGAGCATTGTTGCAGTGTAACTTGTGGATTTTCTAATAAAAGAGCCTGTATTTTATGCATTCGTTGATTACTTATCCATAAATGTCCTTTATTGTCAATGATTGTCTGCAAGGCATGACTAGTATAAACAGTCACTGGAGCTGAAAAGGTTAACTTGTTTGCCTCCTGCAGTAATAGCATAACTGCTGCTAGAATTTTTAAACATTGGGGCCAACCTTGTGAAGAAATGTCCAGGTGTTTTGACAGATAAGCGACAGGGCGGTTCCAACTTCCCTGTTTTTGGGTAAGGACCCCTAAAGCCACATTTTGTCTTACATCCACATAAAGTGAAAATGGCTTAGATATATCAGGTAGTCCTAGGGTGGGGGCTGTGGTGAGAGCCTGTTGCAATTGTCTCATTGCTTGGGTTTGTTCCTCTTGCCACAACAGAGGTTCTTTTTCTGGTCCCCTTAAAGCTTGGTACAATGATTTAGCTGTGAGAGCGAAGTTAGGAATCCAAATTCTACAAAAGCCTGTAATTCCCAAAAAGGCTCTAACTTCCTGTTTTGTTTGTGGGATGGTAATCTGTAACACAGCTTGCTTTCTCTGGGGGCCCAAAGTTCTTTGTCCTTGTGAAAGTTCATAGCCTAAATACATTACAGTCTCTTGAATTAATTGTGCTTTCTTTTTGGATGCTCTATAACCACAGTCTTGTAACAAGTGGAGCAGTCTGGACGTGTTTTCAAAGCAATCCTCCCTGCTTTGGCCAGTTACTAAGACATCATCGACATATTGAAGGCAACAATCCTCTTGTCTGAATAACTTTAGATAAGCAAGATCTTGGGCTAGGGCTTGACTAAAGCACGTTGGTGAATTTTTAAATATACGGCTACCATAAGGATTTGATTGCTTGCCAATAGATTTATTTAGGACAGATCTGGTGGCTCCCGTGTCAACTAGCATCGGGACAACCTGTCCTCCCACCCTTATTTTAACAATTGGCTCTGGGGGTGGGCGATAGAACCCTGTCCTCTTCAGTCTTCCCATTCCATGTCAGCTAAGCCGATCATGTTTTCTTCTCTTTCCTCTGTCTGATTGGGATAAACTGGATGCCCTCTTCCTTTGAAGCTCTTTCTGAAGCCTCTCTGGAAAGTCCCTCTAAATCCTCTTCCTCTTCCATACTGGCGAGATTGTCCCCTGGGTTGGCCATTCCTCTGGGGGCACTCCCTTTGCAAGTGTCCTTCTTGTTTACAGATGGCACACTGATTGGGTCCTAGGCATGTTCCGCCCAATGCCATGGCTAACATTTCAACTTTCTTTTTTCTTTTTGATCTGATTTGCGTTCCTCCTCCCTGTCACGTTAGGAACATATTGAAGCATTGAAATATTAGTGTTATCTGGTCCAGGAACCAACACCTCTCTTAGAGGGGCAATATTTTCTTCTGTTTTTATTTCTAACTTGCTCCTGGTGTGGCTAGAAACTGATGTCTTGCTTTCATTTTCAAAGTTATTCAAGCTTTTATCTGTCTCTTGAAGGGATCCAGCTGTTGCTAATTTTCCTTCCTTGCCGGCTTCTGGCTGAAATTGGGCTTCTCTTTCAGGCAGAGGGAGTGGAATTTGCTGATTTATTCTCCCTTCTTCTCTTCTAGGAACGTAGGGGGGTGGTCTGGCAATTTCCTCCCTATCTTCCTGGCTGAAAATCTTAGCTTTTGTTTGAGGGTTGGCTTTTTGGCTTGCCAAATATATCTTTGCACATTCTATCTGACATTTTGCTAACCATCTTGGTTTTTCTGCAATGTTGATTTTCCACTGGTCAATGTAGGGGTACTGGTCCCAATATCCATTTCCAGTCACAATTTGATGAACCCGTGCAACGAGTTCGGGATTCGCCGATCCCATTTTTGGCCACCCTACGCCCAGGGCAGTCCACTCAGATTCACAGAATCTTTTTAACATGGCTGGATTTGGTTTTGGATCTCCATAATCCCTAGAAAAACCCTTTTTGAAATTCTTTAACATGCACTGGAGTGGCGTCTGGTCAACGCTCTCCTTTGACTTTTTCCCACCCATCTCTCTAATACACTACCATTGATCACTCAGCATGAGCTACAATGGTTTAACCTCCCACACAATCCTGCCTATTGAAGGCTTAAGGACAAATCTTGCCTTCTAAGGGGTGATCAATCCCTTCTTCCGATCCAAAAGGGATCAGGTTTCCCCTGTTTTACAATACTTGCCTGCAGGCGTTTTCCAGACTCCTTTGTTGATTTAAGATCTGTCTGTCACCCTCACGGATCCTTAGACAGGAATGCTTCGCTGATGGGTTAATTCCCTTTCCTTCCGTCGAGGTCTCCTTGTAGTCAAGAGCTACGGAGCCGGCTTTTGGAGCTGTCGTCGTTTAGGAGAGGGGGGGGCCCACCAGGGCAATCCGTCTTGGAAGGTTAAATCCTTTTTCTTAAAAGCCCTTAAAAATGTCCCGGCGGAGTCGCCATAAATCTTGTGGAAAAATAAAGCCTTAAAAAATAAAGGGCTTTTACGAAATTCCATGGGTGAAAGAGAGATCTTTATTTTTGCGCAAAAGGTTCAGAAGTGACTTAACAATCAGCAAATTTCTGAACAAGGGGGAGGGTCTAAACTAAAGCTTTATAGGTTTCTTTTTCTCAGGAACAAAGGAAGCATAGATGGAATCTTATATTGTATATGGAATCAACTTTGTGTAACATTCAGATAGTTTCTCACACGTTTAGGTCCATTTCTCATGGGAATACAATGAAGGCAGTTTTTGCTTTTATACAATGTTTCTAAATATGCATTAGGTCATTCACGTACTGTTAATACAGCTTTTGGCTAACACTGCTTTCTTTCAGAGATTATGCAGACACATGATTTTTTGCTTTTAGTGATTTTTCATTATTATTATTATTATACTTTATTCTTCTTTATTCTATGTTATTCTATTTCTTTCCCACATTAGGACAGCTGCTGCTGGCTTGGGGTGTGGCCGGCGTGGGCGGAAGAAAAGATAGAAAAGGGAAGGAAAGGAAAGGGCCGGGGCCTGTTGCTTCCTTCGTAAGGAGGATATCTCAAACGGAGGCAAGAGAGAGAGTACATAGAAAGGAGTTGGTTGAGGCTCCTAGCCTCAGATTTTAACAATAAAGATAAGGGGGGGAGGGCTTTGACGCTGAAACCTGACTGAAGAAGAAGCAACAGAAGGAGAGGAGAGACTGGTGGTGGCTATTGTTGCTGCAAAGCCTGGAGGCTATTTGGACTGTGACTATTGCTGCTGGTACAGGTTTTAGACATTGTGGAGGAGCTGCCCTGGAGGACGAGCTATTGCTACACACACTGACTGTTGTTGTTTCTACTACCGTCTGGAGCCGGGGTTTTCCTCCATCCCATTTGACTCTGAACGATTGCTGAGGAATCTTTCATTCCTGCTGCTATATCGGCCTTGGGCTGTTGGATATCAGAATAGCATTGACTATTGTGACTGGTTATTTTCGTCCCTGGAAGCCCCTCCTTGACGACAAGAGCCGGCTACCTACTAATTCTGCATGAGCTCCGGCTGGAAGAGACATCTTATCAACCCCTAGAGAACACTACTGCAGGGCCTGGCAAAGGGGGCTGGGGCTGGGAGGGCCTGGTTTCTGGCGGCCTCTGAGGAGGTAACGCTACAGAAGCAATGGATCCATCGCTGCTTTCTTTCATGAACTTCTTTGACAGTCAGATATTTTGTCAGCAGACAGGAATGAGGTTTGATAGGATGATAAAGCTCCCCACAGGACATTCACACGGCTTTAAAATATTCCATTTCCAACACCTTTTTCTTGCTTGTAGGGAATGGAAAGGCATTGGTGGTTATCCCTGAAACATCTCCCGTTTGTGATGAAGCAGAAACAGCATCTCCATCTCAGGTAGGGGAAGATTCTTCATAACAGGAGAGAGTTTGGGGGACAGGGGTGGTCCCAAATCCCTGCCATGGAAATTAACACAAAGGTTGCTTTTTAGCATGGGAAGCTAATGCAATCAAGATTTAATTTAATAGACCAGTAGTTTATTGATGGAAATGAAATGATTTTTTTCCCCTTTCTTGTTTCTCGTCAGCTATAAAATAGCCAACCCCCCCCCCCCAGGAAACATTTTTTTACTCTTACTTATAGTTTATTGTTCTAATGCTCATGCTTTCTGTCAAATTAAGTTATTTATTTATTTATTTATTTATTTATGAGACTTATATACCGCTTTAAGTGCAAGCACTCTCTAAGCGGTGTACACCAGTAAGCAGTGTATATATGTATATATGTATATGTATATGTGTGTGTGTGGGATGGAAGGCTGAGTCAACTTTGAGCCGGTGAGATTTGAACCGCTGACCTGCTGAACACAGTCAGCTAAAGTGGCCTGCAGTACTGCACTCTAACTGCTGCGCCACCTCGGCTCCTTATATCAGTGAATAAGCATTAAGCATTAAGCTTTAAACATGCTCATAAGCAGATCAGCTTAGCAATTAGTATTATATGGGGCAAATTTGCTGTGTTAAAATTCTTCAAGTAGTGTTAAACATCTTCTGTCATAAGGGATTTGGGAAGGATATGAACAAGAAATGAAATTGGTCAGGCAGAATGATATCAGTCATGATCAGAGGGGGGAGAGCAACTTCAGAAACAGCCCCTTTAAGAACAGCCATGCTAATGAGCGGACCAATGACCCAATCGAGAGTCAAGGCGCAGAGGCAGCATTTTATACTCTGATGATGTCGGCAGTGTGGCCGACGAAAGCTCAGTATTTTTGTAGATTAAACAGCTTTGTTTATGATGTATGTATGTATGTATGTATGTATGTATGTATGTATGTATGTGTTTTTTAATGATGCACCCGGTCAGCCCAAATATGGGAAGAAGAAATCTTTTGCCTGTATCAGCCCCCATCTAGGGGCTATCCACAGGCAGCAGTCGCTACTGCGACAATCATTGTTGTGTTAAATTTGGATTGCTAACAAAGAGTTAAAAGGAAACTGATATAGCTATTTCGACCTTTAAGCCACAGGCTCTTTCTCATTTTGTCAGCTGTGTCAGGGAGGAAAGAGACAGGGGAGGAGATATATATATAAAAAAAGATTTCTTCTTCCCATATTTGGGCTGAGGGGTGCATCATAAATAAAAGTGAGAAAGAGCTTGTGGCTTAAAGGTCAACACAGCTGCCTAATATGCAAGCAGCAGGTTCGAATCTCAGAAGGGTATAGCTGGCTGATGAGGGCTAAGGAGCTCGAAATAGCCATATCAGCTTCCCTTTAACTCTTTGTTAGCAATCCAAATTTAACATATATACATACCTCCCGCCTACCAGCCATTTGGAAATACCTCCCACCTACCAGCTATTTGGAAACCCGCCCTTATTAACAAACGACTCCCTAACACAAAAAATGACACCAGACCCACACTCACAAAAACCACACAGGATGTCACCACCACACATCCACGCAAAAAGCAAACCCAAAGCCACACGATGATGAGGCACAACCACAAACCAGAAGCCAGACCACAGCTGCATCATTAGCCACTTTAAACCCCTCCAATCCATACATGAAGCAAACTGACACCCTCCATGAAGATGAGGCACGACCACGAACGCAAAGCCAAAAAATAGCAAGGCAGCCCAAAATCTTAAACCCCCCTGCAACTCAGACTAACCTGAGCACAACCAAACAGAACACTCCCCCAGCCAATCAGAGCACAGCCAACCCCCCCCAGCCAATCAGAGCACAGCCAAGCCCCTAACCAATCAGAACACACCTCTACCCAATCAGAACACAGCCAAGCTCCCACCCAATCAGTTCATACCCCCACTGGCAGTTAAAAGGAAGAAACAGCTAAGACCACACATTGCTCCACGAAGCTGAAAACACCAGCCTGAAGATGACGAATGGAACTTCATCGAAACGTTGCCAAGACACTTCCAATTTTACGCGGGAGAAAACCCGAATAACCAAAGATCTACATATATACATACATACATACACAAATTTCTTTTTTGTTGACAAAGAGTTAAAGAGTTAAATGGGAGACTAGAATAGCTATTTCGTGTGTGTGTGTGTGTGTGTGTGTGTGTGTGTGTGTGTGTGTGTGTATCTGCCGCTCAGATTCCTTCCTCCTGGGACTTCTCTTAAAGAATTTTTGTTTTCCTCTTTCAGGGTTCTGTGTCTTTTGAGGAAGTGGCTGTGTATTTTGTGGAGGAGGAATGGGAGATTCTGGATTCTAACCAAAAAGCTTTGCACAGGGAAGTCATGCTGGAAAATTCCCAAAATGTGACAGCTCTGGGTAAGGGCCCCTCCCTTGTTCTGCGTTGGCTTCATTTGTGGAATACCTTTGTAATCAGAAGTATTTGGAGAACATCTTCCAGATGGAAGAAGACATTCCGCTTATCTGCTTAGTTTCCTTCTTTATGTGACATTCATCACCTCAATCTACTAGGAGTCTAGGTGATACACAACATTCCGAGTCGATAATGCAACATAAAACACAATGCACATTAGTAAAACGTTCTCAGGTTGATGGTTGCAAACTTATTGATGGCAAAAAAAAAACAACCCTTCTAGATAAGGTTTAAGACGTTTTCAGAAGGCCTTGAGAATGGGAGCAACCCATATCTCAGTGGGGCAGAAAGTAAGCTGTTCTAAAAACAGGTGAGTCCCAAAAAGGATGCCTGCCCCTGAACCCCCATCCTGTTGCACCTTGCAGGTGTTCCCTGATCTCCTGCAAGATGCAACAGGTGGAGCAGGAGTTCCCCAATCCTCTGGGCTGGACAGGTGGCCTTTACACTGTACTGGTCCTAAGCCAGATCAGGATTTATGGGTATTGAGCATCCTTTTGAATGGTACACATGGATAGATGTCCAGGTAGTGGTTTCATGTGGCAAGTCCTGTTGCGCCTATTGTGCGCCTAGATCGTGAAGAAGCTGCCATTTCCAAGTGGTCTTAAAGGGCAGCTCCAGGTAGGTCAAATTAGGGAAATGAAAAGGGCACGAGTGATTGTCCTCGGTGCATCCTCATTTGGGTAAAGCTGTTGTTTGCACACCAGGTGGAGATTGGGAAAGACCCTCCTTCCCAAAGCTTCCCTTTGCTCATCCAGTTGGGAGCTAACCTCTAAAGAAGGACAGCCCCATCAAGAGCCAAAATTCATATTGTCCTGGACTCAGTAGACTCAGCGAATTCTGGCCTTTTCTTGCCTCCACTCCTCTTTAACATCTACATGAAGCCACTGGGAGAAGCCATCAGCTGTTTTGGGTGAAGTAGCCTCACTATGCCAGTGTCACTCCACTTGTTCCAAAGTGGGAAAACAATACTAGTCTTGACATAGAGGGCCATGCTCCTATCAATCAGGTCACACCGTAGTTCATCCATGACTATGACCAACATAGGTTATGGACTAGAACCTGGGAGATGATGAGTTCCAATCTTTGTTTAGGCAGACAAGCCAACCTCTTCTGCCAAACCTAGAAGAACTTCCCCCTACTGTTTTTCTATCTACCTGCTGTGTCTGTTTTTATGGTTTTTTAAAACACCTCCATGTAGCTAGCCGGTAATTCTAAGGAGTTTAAACATTTTTTCTGTAGAAATTTTCTGCAACTGTCTGCTTGCCTAAGCTGTGCATTATGAAAGAAAAAACGTTGACCCTCCCCATCACACATAACATCCTAAAAGATGCTTTTTCACAGGCAACTGGGTTTTCTTGATTTTCTTTGAAGACGTTTCGCTTCTCATCCAAGAAGCTTCTTCAGCTCTGACTGGATGGTGGAATGGAAGGATTTATGCTCCTTGCAGATAGCTGGTCATTTGCCTTCTTTTAGAGAGTCGTTGAGGCCACTTGTGGTTTTACCTGTGTCCTCAGAGTCACCTGATTAGTGCAAATGGCTGCAGAATGTTTTCCTTCCCTTGGCTGTTTCCTTTCAGTCTAGAAGGCTCCACACCCATTTGCACTACTCAGGTGACCCTGAGGACACAGGTAAACCTCCAAGTGGCCTCAACGACCAAAAAGAAGGCAAATGACCAGCTGTCTGCAAGGAGTATAAATCCTTCCATTCCCCCACCATCCAGTCAGAGCTGAAGAAGCTTCTTGGATGAGAAGCGAAACGTCTTCAAAGGAAAAACAAAGTCCAGTTGCCTCGTGAAAAGGCTTCTTTGGGACAGTTATGACCTCCATAGACATCCCACATAGCATTTTATGGTTTCAGGATAGGTCCTTCTTCCGTGTGCATACAGCTTATTTTTGTGGTAAACTTAATGCCAGCCTCTGTTTCTGCTCAGAATATTTTTTTTTCTTCCTCTTTTTCTTTGTTTTCTAAAGCTGCCTGTGAACAGGAGACAGAAAATGATAAGGAGGAGAGAGTGGCACTCTTGCCAGCAGCCCAAAATGAAGCGGATAAAGAGACGTTTGCCAATCAAGAGGAATCAAACGGTCAGGAAAAAACCTGCGAAATAAATGGAAGACCGACTTCGGACCCATCGGGAGGTGCAGAAGACCACGTCACCACGAGCGAAGAGTGTGGAGAGGGCGTTGGTGAGAGCAGTGACCTTGCGAAGCACGGCGGAATCCGCAGTGGGCAGAAACCATACGTGTGTGTGGACTGTGGAAAAAGTTTCTGCAAGAGATCTCGGTTCAGGATCCACGAAAGAATGCACACCGGGGAGAGGCCATTTAAGTGTGCTGAGTGCGGAAAGGGCTTCACGGTGAGGGGTCATCTGATTAATCATGAAAGAATCCACACAGGGGAGAAGCCCTTTAGGTGCATGGACTGCGGCAAGAGTTTTAGTCACAAAAGCGCGCTTTCTCGCCACGAAATAGCCCACACCGGGGAGAAGCCCTACAAGTGCGTAGACTGTGGAAAAGGCTTCTGTAATGGAGGCAGACTTAGGATCCATGAAAGAATCCACACGGGGGAGAAACCATTTAAATGTATGGAGTGTGGAAAGGGCTTCACCATGACGGGTAACCTTGTGAATCACAAAAGGATCCACACAGGAGAAAAGCCCTTTAGGTGCACGGACTGTGGCAAGAGCTTCAATCAGAATAGTAGCCTGGTGACCCACAAAAGAATCCACACAGGGGAAAAGCCATATCACTGTCTAGAGTGTGGGAAGAGCTTTAGTCAGAACAGCGCACTTACTCGTCACGAAAGGACCCACACCGGGGAGAAACCTTTTAAGTGCTTGGACTGTGGAAAGAGTTTCAGTCATAACAACAGCCTAATGACCCACAAAAGAATCCACACAGGGGAGAAGCCATATTGTTGTCTGGAGTGTGGAAAGAGCTTTAGGGACAACAGCGCCCTTGCTTATCACGAAAGGACCCACACTGGGGAGAAACCTTTTGAGTGCTTGGACTGTGGAAAGAGTTTCAGTCATAACCGCAGCCTAATGACCCACAAAAGAATCCACACAGGGGAAAAGCCATATCACTGTCTGGAGTGTGGGAAGAGCTTTAGTCAAAACAGCGGACTTACTCGTCACGAAATGATCCACACCGGGGAGAAACCTTTTGAGTGCTTGGACTGTGGAAAGAGTTTCAGTCATAACAGCAGCCTAATGACCCACAAAAGAATCCACACAGGGGAAAAGCCATATCACTGTCTGGAGTGTGGGAAGAGCTTTAGTCAAAACAGCGCACTTACTCGTCACGAAATGATCCACACCGGGGAGAAACCTTTTGAGTGCTTGGACTGTGGAAAAAGTTTCAGTCATAACAGCAGCCTAATGACCCACAAAAGAATCCACACAGGGGAGAAGCCATATTGTTGTCTGGAGTGTGGAAAGAGCTTTAGGGACAACAGCGCCCTTGCTTGTCACGAAAGGACCCACACTGGGGAGAAACCTTTTGAATGCACGGACTGTGGGAAAAACTTCAGTCAGCATAGCAGCCTTATGACCCACAAAAGAATTCACACAGGGGAGAAGCTATATCAGTGTCCGGAGTGTGGAAAGAGCTTTTGTCAGAGCGGCCATTATATGATGCACCAAAGAATCCACACGGGATAGAATCTAAATTCAAGGTGTAGCCAGGTAGAAAATATGTGAAACAAAAGAATCGACGCAGGAGAAGCCATCTGGATACTTGGAGTGCAGAAAGAGGAATTTTGCATAAAATGAAAAGTCAAGGGAGAAATATTTGATATGTAGTGTGGTGTTACTGCACATTTTGATTACTTTTTCACATTTTGAAAAAGAAAATAGCCAGGAAAAACGGAAGTGAAAACTTCAGAGACAGGAATGCTAAAGAACGATTTGATATGGTCTTTCAACCTTCAAGCAAGATAGGGCAAGAAAAATGCCTCAGTCAGGTTGATAAATAGAGGGAAATTAGCAAGAAAGGGAAAACAATATTTTTAAGAAAGTCAGAAATTACAGGAAATTTTGCAAGTAAGATATGAACCAGAGAATGGTATGCTGTAATTCAGAAATGTCAAACACAAGGCCCGGGGGCCGGACGCGGCCCGCAAAGTGGTTTCATGTGGCCTGCGAAGCCATCCTGGAAACAGTGAGGGAACGGCCCCCTCTGCCATGGCCGTGGCCCAGGCCGGGCGGGAGCCAATGTACAATTTTGTGGTGGCCATCTATGCTGAAACATTTTCAGTCTTAGCTCCACAAGGCTGTCTGGAAACAGCGAGGAACCAGCCCCTGCCGTGTCAGCCTGGGTGCATGCTGGGGAGGTGTCACCCTTTGTGAGGAATGAAGAAATGCACCATGCCTTGGCGCTTGCCCTGGTCCCACCCCCTTCTGCCAGAGACCCTCAGATCTGTCCCATTTCTGCCCAGGCCCCCACAGACCCCCACAGGCACCCTTGACGCGAACGATGTAGAGCTGGCCATGCCCACCCAGTAGGCCACACCCACTCCATCCACGTCCACCCAGTAGGCCGCACCCACCCTGGCCACACCCACCCGGCCTCCCGAAGGCCACCACAATGCTGATGCAGCCCTCAATGAAATTGAGTTTGACACCCCTGCTGTAATTGATTATCGTATATGCCGGTGTATAAGGCGACTTCCACAAGCGTTAAAATCGGCACCGAAGTCGGGGGTCGTCTTAGATGCCGGAAATACTGGTAGTTTCCGACGTATAAGACGATGCTCTAGGAATGCGACTCGGTGCCAAAGACGGGGGTCGTCTTATACGCCGGGTCGCCTTATACGCCGGCATATACGGTAACAATTTCTTCCTCTTTAAAAAATGTTTTATTGTATTATAAATACAAGTACTACATTACATTATTTGGGTACAGTGGTATGTATACATTATTGACTAGAGATTATTAACACTGTTTTGGATAACATAAACCTTTAAAGAGAAAGAAGTTTATTTCAGTGTTAACTATGATTTCTGAAATGGCAGTGTGGATAAGCATAAAGTTGTGTAAATTTTACATCCAAAGCTAAATGTGGCATTAATAAACTGGAAAATACATCCAACTGTTTGTTAAACAACAAAGGTTTTTGTCTTAAGCTTTATATTGTTAACTAAGATTTCTCTTGAATTGTCACTTACTGTTTGTGCATATTAAAGAAAAAAGAGACAAACAATGACAAAAATAAAAAGTTTAAAAATAGAAGTTCTTTAGTTCCTAAATTCCTGTTTTTTATGCCTCTACTAAGCTACAATATCTATAAGCATTTAGGTCAGTGTTTCTCAGCTTCCGGAACTTTTAGCTGGGTGTATTTAAAATCCCAGAATTCTCCAGCCATTCTTCTAAGGATTGTTCATAGTTTTTCAGCACTGAAAAAAGTGACTTACAACTTGTTCTTACGCTCACAACCATTGCAACATCTCTATGGTCGTGTGATCAAAATTGCTTGCCAACAGTATGTATGCAGGTTGTAGCATCCCGGATTCATGTGATTGCCGTTTGCAACCTTCCCAGCCAGTTTCCCACAAGCAAATCCAATGGAAGAAGCTAGATCAACAGTACATATAGTCAATGGTAAGTATTTGGGGATGCAGATAACTAACAATCTGCATTGGTATCTCCACACATCATCCTTAATGAAGCAGGCAAACCAGCGTCTGCATTTCCTGCGTTGGATGAGGAAAGCACATCTTTCTTCTGTCCTGGCCACTTTTTACAGAGGCACAATTGAGAGCATCTTAACAAACTTCATCACTGTTTGGTTTGGTGACAGCAGTGCCTCAGGTAGAAGGTCCATAGAGGGTGGTGAGGACAGTTGAGAAGATTATAGGAAGCCCGCTTCCCGTTAATCAGGACACTGCTTATAAACACTATGTGCTTAGAGCTCAAAGCATTGTTAGCACCCACTTCACAGTGTGTTTCTGTTGCTCCCCTCTGGGAGGAGGTTTTGAAGTATCTATAACAGGACTACCAGATGCTGTAACAGCTTTGTTCCTTTGCCATCTGTTTGGTAAATTCACAAGATTCATTTTTTTTCGCCATGTATATGTATATGTTCAAACTAAACTATGTTGTTTCTCTGGGCCACATATGTGTGTGTATGTGGGTCTTCTAGTCCAACCCCTGCTCAGGCAGGAAACCCTAAACCATTTCAGACAAATGGTTGTCCACTCTCTTCTTAAAAACTTCCTGTTAAACGACAATGTTCTCCATCACTTGAGGTTTTCAATAGACTCAACAACCATTTGGTTGGGATGGTAAAAAGCTCCTATCTTGAGCATGGGGTTGGACTAGAACAGTGGTTCTCAACCTGTGGGTCAGGACCCCATTTGGGGTCGAACGACCATTTCACGGGGGTCGCCAAACAACGCAGTCCGCCATTTTTTTCCCCTTTTCCTTAGCTCTGCTACTCCCTTTTATTCTATTGGCTTTTGAAAGCCAGTAGAATAGACTCTCTTGAATAGAGTCTAATTCTATTGGCTCTCGAAAGCCAATAGGAATTGTCCAGGCTGTCTCTGCCCTGCTGAGCCCGCCAAAGGTCCCATTCTGCAAACGGTGCTGCACCCGTTGAGTAGTCCTCGACTTACGACCGGTTGAGTAGTCCTCGACTTAACGACCGGTTGGGGGTCACAGCATTAAAAAGGTTGAGAACCACTGGACTAGAAGATCTCCATGGTCCGTTCCAACCTTCTGATTCTATGTCACTACTTCTCCCTTTATCTAAATTCTGCAGGCCTTTTGCTACATCAATTGTAGGTCCACCACTATCATACCATCTCTGATAAAACTCAGATAGCATTCTGTACTCTCTCCTTAGTGCTTTTCTCCCGCAGAATGGAATAATCTTCAAATCTTGTGATACCAAATGCAAAAGCTTTTCAAGATTAATATTGCAAAGAAAATGGAATTCTTATGAACAAGGATTTTGTATAGGGTAACTGTAGCAAGATTATTATATGTACAATGGAAGAATACTGAAATTCTCACAGTTGGAGGAAGGGATTGTGAAAACGTCAGAATTTGCAGAAATGTTGAAAATGTTGAAAAAAAAACTTCTGAAAGAGTGAAAATCTTATATGGACTTTTTGGTGAAAGAAGAAAGGAATCAAAGGATTATGGATTTAAGATTAAGAAAGGTGCAGATTAAATGAGGGGCTGAAAGAACTGGGGTAACATCTTGAAGAAGAGATAACAAGATTGTAGTTGTTGAAAAGGTCAGAGGTCATTCGTATATTTTCAACTTTTTTTCTTTCAATTTGTCTGCCTTTGCTTAATGGCCACCACAAAAGAGTTGTAAAATTGGGCAGCTTCTATTACAGTCATTATGTCGAGGGCTACCTGTAATGTCATGAAATCTCTTCCCATGTTATGATTTTCTATTCTTTATCCGCTGTGTGAATTATTTCATGCTTCAAAAGGCTCCAACTGCTAAAGTAGCCTTTTTCCTACTCCAGGCATCTATAATATTTCTCTCCTTTGTGGGATCCATTTATGGTAAGTCAGATGACTGCTTGAAATGAAACATTTTCCACATTCCAGGCATTTATATGGTTTTTCTCCTGTGTAAAGCCTGTTATGTTGTGTAAAACTAGTACTACAAGTGAAGTGCTTGCCACGCTCTGCACATTTCTATGGTTTCTCTCCTGTGTGGATATTTTTATGTATCACAAGATTTCCTCTCTGACAGAAGCCCTTTGCACATTCCACACATTTCTACGGTTTCTCTCCTATGTGGATCCTTCTAGGGGAAATAAAAGTACTCCTTTCACTCAAACTTTTCCCACACTGTGCACATTCATATAGCTTCTCTCCAGTATGAACTCTTTGGTGTGGAGTAAAAGTACTCCTGTGAATAGAATAGAATAGAATAGAATAGAATAGAATAGAATAGAATAGAATAGAATAGAATAGAATAGAATAGAATAATTGAAAGGAACCTTGGAGGTCACCTAGTCAAACCCCCTGCTCAGGCAGGAAACCCTGTATCATTTCAGACAAATGGTTGTCCAATCTCTTCTTAAAAACTTCCAGTACTGGAGCATTCACAACTTCTGGAAGCAAGTTGTTCCCCTGTGAGTGAAACTTTTTCCACAATCTGTGCATTTTTATGGCTTCTCTCCTGTGTGGGTCTTTTTATGGGCAGTAAGCCTGTTGCTCGTACTGAAGCACCTTCCATACTCCACGTATTTGTATGGTTTCTCCCCTGTATGGATCCTTTTATGTAGCCTCTTCTTTCTCTTCCTCCTCTTCCTCTTTCCTCCTTCCTCTTCCTCTTCTTCTTCTTCCTCCTCCTCTTCCTCCAACTTGCTTCCTCTACATCGTTGACTTATTTTAATTTCTTCTTCTTCTTCTTCTTCTTCTTCTTCTTCTTCTTCTTCTTCTTCTTCTTCTTCTTCTTCTTCTTCTTCTTCTTCTTCTTCTTCTTTTCCTCCTCCTCCTCTTCCTCCTCCTTCTCCTCCTCCTCCTTCTTCTTCTCCTTCTTCTCCTTCTCCTTCTCCTCCTCCTCCTCCTTCTCCTCCTCCTCCTCCTTCTTCTTCTTTTTCTTCCCTCCTCCTCCTCTTCCTCCTCCTCCTCCTCCTCCTCCTCCTCCTTCCTTCTCCTTCTCCTCCTCCTCCTTCTCCCCCCTGCCTTTCCTTTGAAAGGAAGGAAGAAAAGAAGGAAGAAAGAAAGAGTGATCAATGCTGTTTCTGTCCCATAATCTAGCCTGAAACTCAACTGAAAGGGGTCCAGTAATTTGGGACACTAAATTTCTTCAATTATGCCTCTGTGCCTGAAGCTACAGCAAGAGTTCAGGAGGTCACACAGGAGATACTTCTCCCTATTATTATCAACACCATGGTCTTTTGCCTGTTATTTTCTCACTCATTCTCCAGGGATTTTGAAGGTTGCCATTGACATAAACATCAGATTTCAGGAGCAACATTAATACTATTTTGCATCAGCAATACTGGGTAAATAAATGTCCCCAACACACCAAAGGACTTGGATAAGGCTAACAAGAGGCCAGGGACTATGCTGGCCAGTGTATTCTCATCCCTTTTAGATGCAATGCCTCATCTGGGCTCTATTTGAAAATTGGAAAATTGTTGAATCTTGAAGTCTTGCAAAAGGGCATTTGTCTTGCTCTCATTCTCACTCTTCTTCTAGCTATCAAATTAAAGCTTTCAGAATGCAGAAAACCAAACCAGACAGACCAAGAATGATCCTTTTGCTTCTACTGCTGCTACTGTTGCCCAGTACAATCTCTGGGAGACTTCCAGGCAAATGTTCCTTAACTTTGGGGAGAGATGAAGCAGAGATATCGAATCATTACAGGCCAGGAGACTATCTCATTGGTGGGCTGATTTCTGCAACCAAAGCTTGGTTTCTACAGCACAGTTTCCACACAACTCCCTCGGTTAAAGTTTTCTTGTAAGTCACTGTGTCGCCAATGACACCTGGCTGATTTGTAAAGCTAAGGTGACCAACTTTTTTACAATGAAAAGGAGGACACAAATAAATTGAAGAAAAAAATATCGTAAATAAAAGAAACATTGTATTCATTGCAACAATAATACAGACAACTTGCATGTGCAAAGTTTGCCAGCCGGGTGTTTTGGCACGCTCAGCAGCAATTCCTATTGGCTTTCAAAAGCCAATAGTGGGATAGCACACCTCATGCAAAAGTTAAAAAAAAAAACATCAAAAAAAGGTGCCGGAACGCTGTTCTGAGCGTTCTATGAGAAAAAAAAGCCCTGCAGATTAGTCTTCAAATATCAAAAAGGAGGACATGAAGGAGGACACTTTTCGAGGGAGGACAGAACTTACAAAAGGAGGACTGTCCTCCCTAAAGGAGGATGGTTGGTCACCTTAGTAAAGCTCTAGTCCTCCCAAACTGACTTTTTTTGAATGTTAAAGTAAGGTGCCAATATAGAGTTCTGGAATCTCTCTTACGTCTTAACATTTATTCTAAGGTATCTTTCTGGAATACTGCAACCAATTGTGGTCATCATATCACAAAAAAGATGTTGAGAGTTTGGGGAAAAAAATCAGAGAAGAGCAACTAAGATGATCCAAGGCCTGGAGACCAAAACATACGAAGAACGGCTGCGGGACTTGGGTTTGACTAGTCTAAGGAAAAGAAGAAATAGGGGAGACATGATAGCAGTGTTCCAGTATCTGAGGGGCTGCCACAAAAAAGAGGGGGTCACTTTGTTCACCAGAGCACCAGAGGGAAGGATGAGAAACAATGGTTGGAAACCGATCAAAGAGAGAAGCAACCTAGAATTAAGGAGAAACTTCCTGACAGTGAGGACAATCAACCAGTGGAACAGCTTGCTTCCAAAAATTGTGGGCACTCCATCGCTGGAGATTTTAAAGAAGAGATTAGACCATCATCTGTCTGAGATGGTATAGGTTCTCCTGCTTGAGCAGGGGGCTAGACTAAAAGACCTCCAAGATCTCTTCCAGCTCTATTCTATTCTATTCCTTGAAATATCTGTTCCTTAGTTCTGATCTTTTCTCTAGCACAACTGCCAAAGTGTCTGCTCATTCTTGTAAAAGACTTTCCAGCAGATCTCAAGCAATAGATCTCATTTCTTCTCTGGGAAAAAAAAAACCACATGTTTCTTTGTTCTTTTAAGTGGTCTGATAGTACCTGCTTTGCAGTGATTGTGATTGTGCATTCAGAGTAGATAAAGTTGAATGGGATAATTGTCATTTCCTCAATAGCTGTCGTCTCTGCAGTTGACACGAAGTAATGGAAGGTGGAAATTCATTCTGAAGACTAAAATGATAGAAGAACATAGTTTGGAACTGAAAGGGAATTTTCCTGTAGGCTGTGTTCTAGGGAGGGAGGTGGGTTTTATCCAAGCTCTCCATCCAAAGAAGCAGTTACAAGATCAATCAACCTAGACAGAGGTTTGCGGATCAGGTATCCTAACACAGATCCAGCTTTTGCCATTGGTTTTGCCTATTAAAATATTGGCCGAAATATCTCAGAGGCTTCTATTTGGGCAGCTTCTAAGAGCTATTTAATGGACTGGTCTACCCCTCCTGGGTACTGATTACTTTTGTGAAAAGAAGACTTTAGGGAAAAGTGGGCTTACCCAGTGTCAACACCCAGTTTGAGAATCCAAATAAAACTTTAGGTTCATTCCATTTCCAAAAATCTTATTGTTCATTAAACACACTGCATGGAAGTTTGAAGCACAACTAACTCTGAGGTCCCCAGACACATAGTATTAAACAATAATTTCTCCAGCCAAATCCCCAACCTCTCATATAGTCCATGTAAACAATTTCACTTTGTTATAGGAACTGTCTGCTTCCTCTGCACACCTGCTGCAATATCCTTGAAAAGGTTTCAGGCTCTCATGGTCTTCAGCAAAATCGTAGAGATTTTGTTTCTCCATGTAACCCATTCTAAAGCAACACCTCCCCCTCCTTTATGCTAATAGCAAGCTGAAATGAAGAGGCATGCAGCTGCCAAGTTTCATTCGTGACAGTTTTCAGTGAGACAGTAGCAGTAGACCTTCCTTAATAATTGTTGAAAGTTATGACAATCTTGGAAATGGTATTTTATGGCCTGTAAAGCACTTCAGTCATTATAAAACATTGCGCTGCCCACTAGTCACATGATTGATTTTAGGCACTTGGCAACCAATTCACATTTATAACCATCTGGTCACATGATCACATTTTGAATCATTTTTTTGCCAGTTTCTGGCAAAAAATGTCCATTCAGAAGAATGGATACACCTAATGACTATATGATTATTTTAATGACCAAAATAAAACAAATTGTAAAAGCAAGTTCAGTCAACCATAGAAATATAAATGCATGGGAAAAACCTAAGGATAATTGGTTTCAGATTGTGTGTCTACAGTGTTGTAATAAATAGGGAAATATCACCTTAATACCAACACAGCAAATGATGAGAAAAGGTATCTATGAGATTAAAAGTTTTCCAATATTCATCCATATAACTGACTACCATGGTCCTACATACCCAGAAACATGCAGGATATCAGTTATGTATTTTCTGGCTCCTGAAAATCTTCTTTACCGAAAGCAATCATGAGTGAATTTAAAAGAATAAGTTGTAAGAGGGATACTGTTTTTTCCTCTTTTCAGATGCAGAAGAATGCACCAAATGTCCAGAAGACGAGTATCCGAATGAAGACCAAGATCGATGTATCCCTAAAATTATAAATTTTCTGAGCTATCAAGGACACTTGGGGATCATCTTAGCTTCTATTTCCCTCTTCTTATCCTTAACCACGGGCTTTGTGTTAGGAATCTTCATTAAATTCCTAGAAACTCCCATTGTCAAAGCCAACAATCGGGACCTCTCTTATATTCTTCTTGTCTCCCTCCTGCTTTCTTTCTTGTCCTCCTTCCTCTTCATTGGCAAGCCGAGCAAAGCCACCTGCTTTTTCCGACAAACAGCCTTCAGCATCATCTTCTCAGCTGCTGTCTCTTTGGTCTTGGCCAAAACAATCACGGTTGTGATGGCCTTCCTGGCCACAAAGCCAGGGAATCGGGTAAGGAAATGGCTGGGAAAGAACTTCACCAACAGTCTCATTCTTGTCTGTTCTACTGTCCAAATTATTCTGTGCTCCACTTGGTTAGGGCTACATCCCCCATTTCCTGACTCTGATAAGAACTCCCAGCCAGGAGAAATCCTCCTGCTATGCAATGAAGGCTCTCTTACCATGTTTTATGGTGCTCTTGGGTACATGGGCTTCCTGGCTGCCATCTGCTTTGTAGTGGCTTTCCTGGCCAGGAAGCTGCCTGGATCTTTTAATGAAGCCAAGCTGATCACCTTCAGCATGCTGGTCTTCTGCTGTGTTTGGGTGACCTTTGTGCCTACTTACCTGAGCACCAAGGGAAAATACATGGTGGCTGTGCAGGTCTTCTCCATCTTGGCATCCAGTGCTGGGCTGCTGGGCTGCATCTTCCTCCCCAAGTGTTACATTATTGTACTAAGGCCTGATCTGAATACAAAGGAGCATTTAATGATAAAAATAAAATAGAAAAGTGATCCTTACATAAGAATACTTCAAGAGTGTTACCTTAAAACAGCCATTCACATTTAATAATTGATCATATTATCTATCCATCAGTGTCTCACCATCTTCATCCCACCCATTTGTGCTTAGATCATATTTAAGTTATTCTTCTTCGGATATAATTTTATGTATGTGTATTATATTTCTGAAATATAATTAATGCTTCTTATACATGTTAATTTTCCATAATAAATAGAATGAATTACCATATGAAACAAATGAGTTATGTTATTAAGTGTAGGGTATGATGGGCTTGTGGGGAGGAGGCCCAAGCATTGCAGGCTTCCAGTGGGGTGGGATGGGGGGAGAGAGGCAGGGGGGTGCTGCAGAAACCCTGTGGTGCATCATAAGGGTGAATGACTGCAGGCCTGCTGCAGCTGTCATACTTTTAAAATGAGGTCATAAGTAGTTTTTGGGGGGGTCAGTCATCATTTCAAATGTTTGTCGTACCTGAAGGATTATCTGTAAATGTGGCCTCTGTCAAGGATGAAACTTTGCCAGCTACGTGCCTCTGAGTTTCATCTTGCCTTTAGATTAAGGGGGGAGGGAGAGTGGGTTAAATGGAGAAACAAAACCCCTTCAATTCAGCTGAAGACTGTGGGAGCCTGAAGCCTTATTAAGGACACCAAAACAGGTGTGGATTTGAAGCAGACAGTTTCCATAACAAAATGAACTTGTTGATATGTATTACATAAGATGCTGGGGTTTGGCTGGGAGAATTGATGTTGGAACCTCAGAGTTAGTTTTTCTTCAGCGTAACCAAGCTGTATTAATTAAACAGTAAGCTTTTTGGAAACAAAATGAACCTGGAGTTTTATTTGGATTCTTGAGCTGGATGTTGACAGCCTGGTTGTTAGGCGCTTGAAGTTCAGTCATGTGATTGCCGGAGGGGGGGGGGCAGGATCAGAACTTCAAATCCAGATCATAAACACCATCCAGGTAGGTTATTCAGAATTTCAAATAGTTACTAAATTACTGGTTGTAAGTTGAAGTTGTACTTCAAGTTTCTGACAAAAAACACACTTTGAGTTAAATGGTTTCACTTAACAACCATAACGATCATTGCAAAAAAAGGTTGTAAAATCAGACATGGTCACATGGAGACCCACTAAATGACCGCCATGACTGATAACCACAATTCCGAGCTTAATTATGGTCTTGAGTCAAGGACCACTTGTGGTAAAAGATTCATCAGCCACGTTGCTCTTATTGACTTATTGATCTTCGGGCATAATTCAATCAGCATTTGTGGTGACATAGATAGAGCCTATCCCCTTTCTATAACTTTAGCATAAAAATAGTTGGAAAATTCTGGAGGAAGTTAAGAGCCAAGGTGTAAAACACAAAAGTCAAAGAGCCAGGTCCAAATGACCATGTGTTAAAAGCTGCTCCCCTTTTTACATTTGATGCACATCCCTAAGTCATGGATTCAGACAGTATGTCCCGTATCTGCTGAAGACCACCATAGTCCTGAAAAGATTTTTGGTCCATTAAATATTTAGACTTTAGGAGAATCTCAGTTGGAAGACTTTATAAATTATTATCCAGAGGTTAAAAGTAATCAGTCCACTGTTGTTTGAGAACTGATCCATTACCTAGAAGAATATTTTGACCTAGTAGTTGCTTTAAGTCTGTCCAAGCTCCTTGCATCACTGCATAAATAAATCTGTATCTGAGAAGTTTGCCATCTCAAAAACATGTTTTCCTCTCCATCTGCACCTGCTTCTGGAGATTATATTTTCCTCCTCGGTAATTACTGTGTTAAAATTATGTGATTACTCCAAAGCTCATGGGATTGGGAGGAAAAGTTTGAATCCAATAATACCCAGAGTTAAATCTTGGATCTTCTTTTCCCTCTTAGTATCTACATCAGGTACCTAGAACCCAGAAGTCATTCTCCTCCTTTGATAGCTAACTTCTCTTTGATGATCTTGAATTAGCTGGAATCTACATTGCTTCAGCAATTTGAGATTGCCTAAATCCAAATTTGTTTGTTAATCCTTTTCCTTTTCTTCTCCTCCTATTCTGTGCATTAAAAACCCTATTTGGTTTTCCTCCCAGTTTTTTCTCAGCCACAGACATCACTATAAGTATTGTTTGTATATCTGGGAAATTGTCTGACACAACAATGTTTACCTTCTCCATTCCATCAGATGCATCTTACCATGAGCAAAGTCACAGAACATGTACTTTGTGCATGTGTGTCTGGGAATAAAAGCAAAGGAAAGTTACTTCAGATTTGCTATCTCTTAAAGAAAGAGTAGGAAGACAAAGAGGAGATACTGATTAAATCCTTAACATTCTCTCTACATCCTACTATCCTCTTGGTCAAGAGATCAGGAAGTGGTGAAGGGTCAATGTCACTGATTTCATTGTCAGGTTTGAAGCACATTTTTGCTGGTCCGATAATTATTGCTTCTCAGCTTGCCAACGAACTTGGGGCAGGGGAGGGAAAGGGATTGGTATGCAGTCTTCAAAAGATCAAGAAAGCAGACCATGAGAACCAAGGACAGTTCACCAGGTGTCTGGCCAGACCCAGAGACACTTTCTCATAACAATATTTTTCTATCTAATTGGGCAACATGACCTGATCGAGAAGAGGGAGGGGGAACTCTATACTTTTGCTATATGGGATTGGGTGGGTTTTTGCCAGAGCTGCTCTTGCTTTCATGTGTGTTGAAATGATGTACTCAATAAAGTTTTACATTAATAGTTTGGAAAGTCTCAAATGTGTTTACTTGGTTGGGTTCGTCAGCTGGAACCTTGATATATATCTCTAAAATGCAAAACTGAATTTATTATCATGTACAGGAAACCTTTAATTGAATCATGCATGGAGGTAGTATTTGGTTATACTTTTTCTACTAATGAAGGGGATAGTTTTCATTTAATTCATTCTCTTTGCTTCTATACACCTCTCCACAATCTTCTCTAGAAGATTTGGAGAAACCTACTTTGTAGGACTGACCCATCCAAATATTGATGGACAAGAAATTCTATAGCTTGGAGGCCCATTATGGAAACCACTGCCTCTCCTATAAATTAATCTTGAAAATAGGCCTAGGAACCCAGTTCTGGAGTTTCATTTGGATGCTAAAAATCAGGAATCTGGTAGACCTTTTCCAAATAGCATATTTTATTAAAAGGCACAGGCTTTTATGTGCTGCATATAATAATAATAATAATAATAGTAGTAGTAGTAGTAGTAGTAGTAGTAGTAGTACTAGTAGTAGTAGTAGTAGTAAAGTTGGAAGGGACCTTGGAGGTCATCTAGTCCAACCCCCTGCTCAGGCAGGAAACCCTACACCATTTTGGACAAATGGCTGTCCAGTCTCTTCTTCAAAACTTCCAGTGTTGGAGCATTTACTGCTTCTGGAGGCAGGCTGTTCCACTGATTAATTGTTCTCATTGTCAGGAAGTTTCTCCGTTGTTCTAGGTTGCTTCTCTCCTTTATTAGTTTCCACCCATTGCTTCTTGTCCTGCCTTCAGGTGCTTTGGAAAATAGCTTGATTCCCTCTTCTTTATAGCAGTCCCTGCTATCATGTCCCCCCTTGTCCTTCTCTTCCTTAAACTAGACATACCCAATTCCAGCAGCCTTTCCTTATATGTCCCCTAATCATCTTTGTTGCTCTTCTCTGTACTCTTTCTAGAGTCTCAACATCTTTTTTACATCATGGTGACCAAAACTGGATGCAGTATTCCAAGTGTGGCCTTAACAAGGCATTGTAGAGTGGTATTAATACTTCACGTGATCTTGATTCTATCCCTCTGTTAATGCAGCCTAGCACTGTGTTGGTTGTTTTGGCAGCTGCAGCACACTGCTGGCTCATATTTAGGTGATTGTCTACTAGGACTCCAAGGTCCCTTTCACAGTTACTACTATTACTTCATCAGATGCATAGAGTAGCTAGACTAGTAGAAGATTTAAATTGGAGCAAACGGGGAGGAAAGGGAGATAGAGAGGGAAAGACAAGTTAATTGTGCAGATGTAAATTACATGTGAGATAGATTATAAGTACCTTATCAATTAGCAATTATCCTGTATTAAAAAGCTTAGTGGTTTAGACTTATGATCCTAAATAATTATAAAGCTCTATGGATCAAAATCAATACTTCCTTACAGTGTCTCTTTGCTACCCAAGGAAGCCTCCTTGCATTATTAGGAACTGAATAGAAACCAGCTGGTACTTAGAATAACAGAGTTGGAAGGGACCTTAGAGGTCTTCTAGTCCAATCCCTTGCTCAGGCAGGAAACCCTATACTATTTCAGACAAGTAATTGTCCAATCTCTTCTTAAAGAGTCATGGTGGTGCAGTGACTGGAATGCAGTACCACAGGCTAACTCTGCTCATATTGCCAGGAGTTTGATTCCTGTGATCCTTCCCAGCTCAAGGTTGACTCAGCCTTCCAGTCTTCTGAGGTTGGTAAAATGAGGACACAGATTGTTGGGGGCAATATGCTGACTCTGTAAACAGTTTAGAGCGGGCTGCAAAGCATTGTGAAGTGATATATGGCTATTAAAAACCTCCAGTATTGGAGCACCACAACTTTTGGAGGCAAGTCATTCTACTAATTAATTGTTCTAACAGTCAGGAAATTTCTCCTTAGTTCTAGGCTGCTTCTCTTACAATGCTTTCCACTTAAATTGCATTGCTAGACCAGTAGCATATGCCTGCTACTAAGGATTACACTGCATGGCTTGTTTTTATCGTGAGTTGCTCTTTTGTATTTAAACTAGGCCTCAGTACAATAATGTAGCATTTAGGAAGAAAGATACAGGCCAGCAATCCAGCACTGGAGGCCAAGATGGAGAAGATTTGCACAGCCACCATGTATTTCCCTTTGGTGCTTAAGTAGGTGGGCACAAAGGACACCCAAACACTGCAGAAGACCAGCATGCTAAAGGTAATCAGCTTGGCTTCATTGAAGGTCCCAGGCAGCTTCCTAGCTAGGAAAGCCACCACAAAGGAGATGGCAGCCAGGAAGCCCATGTATCCGAGAGCACCATAAAACATGACAATAGAGCCTTCATTACATTGCAGGATGATCTTTCCAGGTTGGGAGTTCATGTCAGAATCAGGAAAGGGGGGTGAAGAGCCCAGCCAGATTGTACAAAGAACAACTTGGACAATGGAGCAAGAAAGGACAATGGTGTTGCTTAAAATCTTTCCCAGCCATCTTCTTACCAGGTTCCCAGGCTTTGTGGCTAGGAAAGCCAGCACTACCATGATTGTTTTGGCCAAGACAGAAGAGACCGCAACTGAGAAGATGATGCTGAAGGCTGTTTGTCGGAGAAGGCAGGTAGCTTTGCTTGGCTGGCCGATGAAGAGGAAGGAGGACAAGAAAGAAAGCAGGAGGGAGACAAGAAGGACATAAGAGAGGTCCCGGTTGTTGGCTTTGACAATGGGAGTCTCCAGGAATTTTATGAAAATTCCCAACAGAAACCCTGTGGCTAAGGACAACAGCAGTGCAAAGGAAGCAAGGATGATCCCTAAATTTTCATTGTAAGAGAGAAAAGATATGATCTTAGGTATACAGTGATCTTGAGCCTTGTTTGGATGGTGATAGTCCCCACACTGGGTGCAAAGATCAGCATCTAAAGAGAAAGAAGATCATTTTCAGTGCTGCATGCTACCCCAAGAAGGTCTGCAATTAAATTAGCTTTAATTGTCACAGAGGATGGCAGCATCTAGGTAAGTATGGTTGAGTTCAGAAAAGCTAATCAGGGTTGGTCCTGATTGTCCCTTTGATAAAAGATCACCAGGCCAGAATGGAAACTTGAAGAAATATTCTGGAAAAGGGCAGATGCAAACTATTTTAGGAATCTACAGTGGTACCTTGGTACTTACTGTTAATGATAAGTATTAAAAACAACGAGTGCCAAATAACCTACGTAATTTACAATGTGACTCTTTGTTTCAGCTGGGAAAAACTATCTGTGTTTCCCTTTATTTCAGTGATCTTCCCAGCATGGCCAACTTCCTGTCTGTTCTCCATGTCTGTCCCTCTTTTCCTATCACAGTGTTTTGAGTACCAAACAAACAATGAGTACCAGGACAACATTTTTGCATCAAAATGCATCTAGTACCAAATTTGACAAGTTTTGAAGCAATCAAATACCGAGGTATCACTGTATTAAGAATACTATAGGAATACAAACTAAAATCACCAATCTTGATGAGGAATCTTTCCTTATTATTGTTATATTTAACCTATCAATTGATGCTAAGAAAGATTTAGTTGTATTTAGGGGGCAAAACATTACAGTGTGCAGCATGGTAGAGGGTCAGTATCATCTGGATGGAATTAAACTTTTAAAAATGACATGCTTCTCACCTCCAATAAGGACATAAAACTACAAGTCCAAAAACTATAAGTCTTGTCCTTTCACTGAAAGGAAGGGGTGGTGGTTATCAGAGCTACCTACCGTTCTCAGTGGAAATGGTCCCTCCTGGGCAGGGGGCACAATCATAACAGCAGATAGGCTGCCCCTTACGGGCTGTCTTGACATAGCCACTCCTACAGCTTTCTGTGCACCTGGAATAAGGTGTGATCTAATAACAAAGACAAGATACACGAGAAGAAAAACATTATATGGAATCTTGGCCTACGGAATGGAATTCTAGCTGGCAGCTCTTAGCTTCTGTTAGCCTTCCCAAAACTGGAGTTTTACAGATGCAGGACTGTGACTCCTAGTCTTTCCAGCCAGCATGCCAATAACTGGTTTGGGAAGACTTGGGGTTGACATCTCACAAGTGGCTTCGATAGGTGGTGCAACAATGACAACCTTGAATAATCTCCAAAGCTAAGCTGGGTCAGGCCTGACAAGCACTTTAATGGGTCCCATCTGGACTTCTGGAAGAAGGCAATGGCAAAGCCTTTTGTATGATACAGGTAATCCTTGAGTTACAACCATTTCTTTAGTGACCAAAATTACAATGTAACTGAAATAAGTGACTTATGACAGTTTTCACTCTGAGTCTGATTCTGTTAGCGTCGTCGGGGTTGATTTTGGACAGGCTGGTTTCTGCACCAGCAAGCCACCCAAAAGCAACTTAACCAAAAAGGAACAGACAGCACTACTTAACCTGAAAGAAAACACCAGCATAATAATCCTACCAGCAGACAAGGGCAACGCCACGGTGGTTATGAACACATCTGACTACCAAACCAAATTAACCAACCTACTCCAAGACTCCACATACAAACCCCTAAAGACAGATCCCACCACCAACCTGGAAAAAAGCGCTAGATCCAAAATAAAAGCCTCCCCCATTAGTGAAGAGATCCAGCAAAGAATCATTCCCAGAGAGAAATCATCCAGATGCCCTAAGCTCTATGGTCTCCTCAAGATACACAAAGAAGAAACCCCACTTAGACCCATAGTCAGCTCCATAGGCTCACCTCTACAAAACCTAGCCAAATTTATCGCCAAACAACTACAGCCCTATGCAGAATCCATCACCTCACACGTAAAAAACTCATTCCAGTTCATAGAGATCATAAAGAAACAAAACTTACAGCCCAGCGACCTACTCATGAGCTTCGATGTCATATCCCTCTTCACCGAAGTGCCAATCAAAGAAGCCTTGACAGCCATCCAAAACAAATATAACCCCCCAAACACATCTTAGATCTGACCAACCACTGCCTATCCAACACATACTTCATCTATAACGGACAAAAATACAAACAAACAGAAGGAGCACCCATGGGATCACCTCTCTCACCTGTCATTGCAAACCTCTACATGGAACACTTTGAAACCCAAGCTCTAGAAAAATCTGATCACAAACCCAAACTCTGGCTCAGATACATAGACGACACCTTTATAATCTGGCCACATGGGAAAGAAAAACTGGACAACTTCCTCACACAACTGAACAGCCTACACCCCAAAATACAGTTCGTCATGGAAACAGAAGCTAATAACCAACTTCCCTTCCTGGATGTCTTAGTTTACAAGAAATCCAATGGCTCCCTAGGACACACCATCTACCAGAAGAAAACACACACAAACCGCTATCTGCATGCTCTCTCACACCACCACCCAGCACAGATCAACTCCGTAGCCAAGACACTCATCTCCAGAACAAAACACTTAGCTGACAAACAACACCTAAAAACCGAACTACACACTCTCACTAATGTACTAACATCCAACAGATTCCAAAGAAATAAGATTACCAATCTAATCCAAAAGAAACCCCCACTAAAATCCAAGACAGAGAACAAGAAAACGGCAAAGCCCTCCTCCCATACATAAAAGGCACCACAGACAGAATCAGCAAGATCCTCCACAAACACAACATCAAGACAGCATTCTGCACAAACAGAAAAATATTCACCATCCTAAGAAACCCCAAAGACAAAACTGAGTTAGAAAATCAAGGAGTATATGAAATCCCATGCACCGCTTGCCCCACCACATACATCGGACAAACCAACAGAAGAATAAGTACACGCATTGAAGAACACAAGAACTCATTCAAAAAAGAGGAACCAACTTCTTCCTTGGTCCAACAACTTAAAGCCACAGGACATGAAATTGACTTTAAAAAGACCAGAACTATCGCCAAAACTGAACACTTTAATAACAGAATAATCAGAGAAGCCATCGAGATAGAAAAATGCCCACACAGCATGAATAAACGAGATGATACCTCCCGCCTACCGGGCATTTGGAAACCCACCCTTATTGACAAATGAGTCCCTAACACAAAGAATGACACCAGACCCACACTCACAAAAACCACACAGGATGTCACCACCACACATCCATGCAAAAAGCAAACCCAAACCCACACCAATGATGAGGCACGACCACAAACCAGAAGCCAGACCACAGCTGCATCATTAGCCACTTTAAACCCCTCCAATCCATACATGAAGCAAACTAACACCCACCATGAAGATGAGGCATGACCATGAACGCAAAGCCAAACAACAGCAACGCAGCCCCCCATCTTAACTCCCCCTGCAACTCAGACTAACCTGAGCACAACAAGCCCCCACCCAAACAGAACACTCCCCCAGCCAATCAGAGCACACCCAACCCCCCATCCAATCAGAGTACAGCCAAACCCCTAACCAATCAGAACACACCTCCACCCAATCAGAACACAGCCAAGCTCCCACCCAATCAGTTCATACCCCCACTGGCAGTTAAAAGGAAGAAACAGCTACAATCACACATTGCTCCTAGAAGCACGAAGCCGAAAACACCAGCCTGAAGATGACGAATGGGACTTCGTCGAAACGTCGCCAAGACACTTCCAATTTTACGTGGGAGAAAACCCGAATAACCAAAGACCTATATACAAGCACTCGCGAAAACCTCAGAAAACACATATATATATGTTTTTATTATTGTTATTATTATAATCTATCAATCCCTTTAAAAAGCAGCTACCCAACTCTATAGACAAATGGGCAGTGCACACTCTCCTGGACTCCATCTGCAGCTTATAGGGGAAAAAATGCACTAATTCTCATTTTGGAGATTGTTGCTTTTGATGTACAATTGTGTAGTTAAATGTCTATGGAGATTCTCAGTCATCCGGATCATGGTTGTCCCAAAGGTGCTTTTTCAGGAGGCAACTGGACTTTCATGTTTTTCTTCGAAGACATTGCACGTCTCATCCAAGAAGCTTCATCAGCTCTGACTGGATGGTGGTCCTTCCATTCCCCACCACCCAGTCAGAGCTGAAGAAGCTTCTTGGATGAGAAGAAAAACATCTTCAAGGAAAAAACAAGTCCAGTTGCCTCTTGGAAAAAGCACCTTTGGGACAATTGTGTAGTTATCAAATTCTTTGGGAGGAATGCTCTCTCCTGTTCTGTCATAGGAGGGTGCCTATTCAGAGGAGAAGGAAGAGTCTTCCAATGGCTGATAGAATCCAAAAGGAGGAATCTCTACCTTATTAAACTGCACGGGCCATAAAATAGCCTCAGGATGGATAGTGAACTTGAATCCGGCATCTGCTGCCTTTTCTATGCTCCCAATTTTCACTCTGCCATGAGTCTTATTGGGAAACTGCACCCAGTTCATAATATCAAAATTGGCTGTCAATTCGCCATCCTTGTCCACGTAGAGCCCACTTGAGGAATCATTTGAAAACCGGATCCCTCTTAGGAAAGAGTGGAGCTGGAAAGACAGAGAAAACAAGAGGAGAATCATATCTTATCCCAAAACAAGGAGAACAGGGATTTTTGGAGATCCAAAATCTCCAGAAGGCTGGTTCATGCAACACTTGCTTGCTGCATTACAGAAAAACCTCACTTGATGATTGCCTGGTTTAGCAACCGTTAGAAGTTACAACAGTGCTAAAACTGAAACTTTACAACTGGTCCTTGCATTTAAGACAATTTCATGATTGAGATTTGAGTGCTTCACAACTGGCGAGCCTTTACAACCACTAGAAGGTCTCATCGTATTGTCACCATTTGCGAGCTTCACCATTGACTTCTGACAAGTAGAGTCACTACAGAAGCTGGCAGTAAAATTAGAAGTCAAAGTCATGGGATGTCTCGCTTCATGACCTGAGGTGATTCACTTAACAGCCAAATGGGAAGTGACATTGTAAGTCTTTTTAATTTATTTAAGAGATTTATACTTAAGAGAAAAAAATGGATCCAGGAAATTACAGATCTATCAGCCTGACCTCAATACCTGGGAATATTCTGGGAAAGATAATCAAACAATGAATCAGTGAACACCTAGAGCCAAACAAAGTCATTACCAAAAGCCAACATGGGTTTGTCAAAAACAGATCATGTCAGACAAATCTTATTGCATCCTTTGACCATGTGACAAAATTAATGGACCAGAGGAACGCTGTGGATATAATTTACTTGGATGTCAGTAAGGCATTTGATAAAGTAGATCACAACCTACTACTTGATAAGATAGAAAAATGTGGGTTAGACAGCATCATCGCCAGATGGATTCGTAGCTAGCTGACCAGGCGTACTCAGTATGTGGTCCTCAATGGAACTGCATCTACATGGAGGGAAATGTGTAGTGGAGTGCCCCAGGGCTCTGTTCTAGTCTCAGTGCTCTTCAACATCTTCATCAACAATTTGGATGAGGGAATAGATGGGAAACTCATCAAATTTGCAGAAGACACCAAGCTGGCAGGAATAGCCAACACTCCAGAAGATAGGCTTAAGATACAGGAGGATCTGGACAGACTTGAACACTGGGCGCTATCTAACAAAATGTAATTCAATGGTGAAAAAAGTAAGGTTCTACATTTAGGCAAGAAAAACCAAATGTACAGATATACTATAGGGTGGTACCTTGCTCAATAGTAGTAACTGTGAGAGGGATCTCGAAGTCCTAGTGGACAATCACTTAAATATGAGCCAGCCGTGTGCTGCAGCTGCCCAAAAAGCCAACACAGTGCTAGGCTGCATTAACAGAGGGATAGAATCAAGATCATGTGAAGTATTAATACCACTTTACAATGCCTTGGTAAGGCCACACCTGGAATACTGCATCCAGTTTTGGTCACCATGATGTAAAAAAGATGTTGAGACTCTAGAAAGAGTACAGAGAGGAGCAACAAAGATGATTAGGGGACTGGAGGCTAAAACATATAAGGAATTGGGTTGCTGGAATTGGGTATGTCTAGTTTAATGAAGAGAAGGATGAAGGGGGACATGATAGCAGTGTTCCAATATCTCAGGGGCTGCCACAAAGAAGAGGGAGTCCAAAGCATCTGAAGGCAGAACAAAAAGCAACAGATGGAAACTAACCAAGGAGGGAAGCAACCTAGAATTAAGGAGAAACTTCCTGATAGTTAGAACAATTAACCCGTGGAATAACCTGCCTCCAGAAGTGGTGAATGCTCCAACACTGGAAGTTTTTAAGAAGAGACTGGACAGCCATTTGTCTGAAATGGTGTAGGGTTTCCTGCCTGAGCAGGGGGTTGGACTAGATGACCTCCAAGGTCCATTTATGATTATGATCAATAATCAATGATCAATTGGACTTAGATGGCTTTGGATGGCAGATGGAAGGAACCGGAACAACTCTGTGAATAAGCCAAAGCAGTTTCTTTATTGTTGATCGCCTATTTTACAAGAATCTCGCCAGATTCTCTTGGGAACCCATAGATCAGCGGTTCTCAACCTATGGGTCGCGACCCCATTTGGGGTCGATCGACCATTTCACGGGGGTCACCAAGCAAGGCTGTCTGCCATTTTTTCCCCTTTTCTGGTGGGTACCTTACCTCCCTTGGGCTGGGCCAGCTGGTGGCCCAGCAGGTGGTCGGCCGGTGCAGGGGGCGGCACCACGCATGTGCGGCACTCCTGGGCAGGGAAAGTCCTTGACTTACGACCAGTTGGGTAGTCCTCAACTTACAACTGGTTTAGTCCTCGACTTACGACCGGTTTAGTCCTCGACTTACGACCGGTCGGGGGTCACGGCATTAAAAAGGTTGAGAACCACTGCCATAGATAAAAGCTTCCCTAGTCTGGCCGATGTCATTTCCTTTCATGGAGCAACTCCATTCTGGAATGCCTCTTTACTCCCTGCTCTCCTTTAGCTGGTGATTCCACCACCAGAAACCGAGTTAAAAGTAATGCATCCTTTGAATTGAGCGCAACTCCTTCTAACTTCATGAATATGGACAGAGTTTCCTTTGACAACTCTATGAAAGTGGCTTGGTGCTGATTTCTTCCAGTTTGCTTTTTGATTCCCAGATCTAGCCTATTGCTCAGAGATTTCCTTGTGGTCCTCCATTCAGGGACAACACAAATCTAATCCTGGTTAGATTTTTGAAACCAGGACCAGACTGATAAGTACTGCAATTTGGATCTCCTAATGCATCTCCTACCAATCTAAATGGCTAGATTTACACTACATCCTAAGCCATAAGCTTAGTATATTGTGTAATATAGGAGCCATGGTGGCATAGTGGTTGGAATGCAGTACTGCAGGGCACTTCTGCGGAATGCCGGCTGCCTACAGTTCGGCAGTTTGAGTCTCACTGGCTCAAGGTTGACTCAGCCTTCCATCCTTTGGTAAAATGAGGATCCAGATTGTTGGGGACAATATGCTGACCCTGTAAACAGCTTAGAGAAGCAGTATGTAAACAGCCATGAAGTGGTATGTAAGTCTAAGTGCTATTGTTATTGCTAATGATTGTTGTTTGGTTTTTAGCTGTTGTAATTAAGCCAGCTGTGTGAACAGTCAAATCGTCAGAATGAAATTATGTAATTCTTCATGAAATTATGTACTCGGTTTAAGACCAGCCACTCAGCAACTATTGAAAGTTATGACGGACAGCCCTTGGGGGTACTTATGTCCTGGATTTCAAATTCCATAACTGCCTCTCCCCCACCCAGCGGTCACATGGCCATGTCAGTTGCTTGCCAACTAGCCCACATGTACAGCCATTTGCAATGTCCCGTGGTGATATGTCTGCATTCAGTGATGTTTTTTTGCTGAAAAACCAATATTTTCTTCTGGTTTTTAACAAAAGTGTCTCATAGTGAACAATTGGGTCACTTTAAGACTGCAGTAATTGGCAGGCTCCATTATGATTATAAGTTGAGGGCTACCTATAAATTCTAGTAATGATAAGCAAGTCAAAATAACCCTTTGTAAACTGAGATTCTTTGGAGGGAAAGAGGCTGAGGAGAATACCTGCCATGATTGCCATCTGAAAGGGTCCAATCTGTTTTCGCCTGACCCCGGGTTCCTCCTGGATCTGGACATAAGGGCAACCTCTAAACCCTGTACCACAATTTTGATAGTGTTGTAAATGGTGTATCTGTCTTGGGACAGGACCCTCTCAAGCTCCTGGGGAGGTAAGTTGTCCATATTCCCGTTCTCTCTGCATCTTCTCCAACCTTTCACTGACAGACCCAGCTTTGAGTAGGAACAGGAGAATGCCTCTTCCCAAAACCTTTCCAGGAAGATGGAACGGGGCTCATAAGAGTCAAATATTGTCCTTCTGCTTGACTTGTCTAAGGACAGAGAACCTTGGACGTACTGGAATAAAAAAGACGAATAAGCCAAGATCAACTTGGTGTCCCACACAACTGTCGTGATCCAGACTTTCCCCACTGTTGAATTGAGATTGCTGTTGAAGATTTGATGAAAGCTGAAAATTGGACCAAAAGCAAAGTCTGTGTCTGCATAGCATAAAAATACGTTGACTTGCTTCCACAGAGTGGTTGGTACACTTTGGAACGTCCTTGTGTAGGAAATCATTCGGGAGTATTGTTTCGAGAAGGCAATGCAAACATCATTCTGGTTCAGCAAGGAGGTCAATGTTCTAGAGAACCTGTCTCCATTGGCACTATCTGGAGCAAATAGGCCAATCCAGGTCCATTCAAAATGCAGGAGTAGTTGGATAATTCCTTGATACTGAGTTTCTTCTTTGGGGACCATGCGATAAAAAAAGGGGAACTGAGTTTTGTCACTAAGAAAAGGAGAAGCCAATCCATAACTAACCTTTAAAAACACCAAAAAGAACAAAAGAAATTACAATTGGGTCAAAGATCCAAATGTTATGTTTATTTTTTTAAAAATATATATATATATTGTTTAATATTGCTCTCCATTTGTTTTTATTCCAAACTGTAACTAGTATAGCGTAGTAATTTATTTATTTGTTTGTTTATTCTTTTTACTCTCTTTTTATGACTCTGTAATTTTTTCATCCAGGGTAGATTTGGGGCAACTGGATGGAGTTGAGCATTTATTGGCCAGATGCCCTTCCTGATGCCTATGCAGAGTTCACAGTAGATATTTTCTCTTTGTGCCCTGACAGAGAAACATCTGTCGCTGCCTAGGATTGAACTCATAATCTTCTGACTGGGAGACGAGCATCTTTGCCACTAGGCCACCACACTGCTCATTTATTCAACTATTTAATTTGTTAAATTTATTCCCCCCCCCCCCGCACATCTTGTTGTCGGGCTACTCTAGGCAGCTTACAATAATAAAACAGAAGAAAAATAAAATGGAAGTAAAATAATAGAACGATAAAATAAACAATGACAAAGAAATGCAACAAGAATTACTATCTTTTTGGTCTGGATGTGGGAAAGGGGAGAGTCAGCATTACCTCCTAGCCATATCCCTTCAGGTTTGTTTCACGAGCTTTTGGGAAATGGTTTCTTCTTCCTAGA